GACAAAACCAACATAGTGGGTTTGCGACCAGCATGGCTTCTGACCAACCTGCTCCTCCGCGCAGTCTGATCAGGATCCATGCTGTTCGCTTACAAACCATATAACAAGTAGAGAAACTGAGAGCGAACAGCATGGATGCTGATCAGACTGCGCGGATGCTGGTCGCAAAACCCATTATGTTGGTTTCGTCATGACGCGGCTCATATATTGATACTATCAAAACCAAAGATGTTGTGTTACCTATGACGATCGAGTATTAAATAGCGCGTAAGTTATGAATAAGCAAAAAATATATCAACGCATGAATCACAGGCTACTTATACATATATATATATACGTATATCTCATGTAGTTGTAGTATACTAAATAACTCCCCATCCGGAATTGCAATTTACGTAGTTACAGTTCGGATTCTAGATTTTTTTTAAAGATTTAAAATGCATAATTAATACACCATGCAAATTGTGCAGACTGTGCAGACTGAATTATTATATGTACACTGTATATTGCAGTTTACCATAAAATTTGATAATTTAAACATTAGTGCTTTTCATCCACGGTAACTTTTAGTTAATGTCGCCTTGTCTTGTTGATCTTTTTTATATTCTATTGACTATTTTTTTTTTCTCTTTTTAAAATTGTTTTTCCGGAGTCATGACCACGGTAACTTTCCTGTGTCCTTTATTTTATACCATATGGGTTTCTTCAAAGAAATATCTAAATTTATGTAAAATCTAGTTAAAATATTATGATTTTTCCAATATTAATGTGAAATAAAAAAGATGTGAGTTAATTTATTTTTTATTCTATTTTCCGAAGACATCTTTGGAACTCATTATTAATAGAATAGAGTATGACCGTAAGGGCATATTTGCTCCAAACGAACGATATTTTAGACATGTTTATAGGGTATAAGATTTGTATATTCTGTCTCTTTCTTATACTTAGAGCGCATGTATAAAGTCCCTTTATAAGCGATTGACATTAAAAGAAAACAAATTGAAATATGTTGTTTGGTTTTTTTATTCTGAAAAAGTTATTTCATAAAAATTAATGTGCTGAGCATGTATACATGTAAACAGTGATCGCCAGTCTTGACGTTACAGTTACGTCGTACGACAGCCCTAACCCTGTTGTAGAGCTGCGACATTTTTTACGACGTCGTAGGCTACGACAAACGTTAATAAAACGGTCTTAACGTTCTGCGACATGTCTGCGACAAAAAACTAGTCTACGACGTGTCGTAGAGCGTTGATAAAACGGCCCCCAGTACTCTGTACTTCATGATTTTAGAGTTATTGCCATTTGTTGATTATTATACTTAATTTTTGTTCGGACCAAAGCTATTTAAGCAACATCAATCCTGATGTAAAATTGATGCAGGCAGTTCAAATGCCACTGAAGTTCTAGGTACCTGTACATTGTAAGAGCAGTGTTTATAAATAACCTACATTTAAGAAGAAAAATGCCTGAGTGACGGCTATACTGTTCACAAGGCAACACATCCGACTTGTGGAGTTCTAGTCTTTTACACAATCTAGTCATACATTTAATTTATACAAAGTTATTTTAATTTGATTGTGTTGGAAGCTAATTTGTATAAGCTCAAGGAAACAACGGCTTGCCCCGGACAGGGTTTGAACCCACTTGGTCAACAATTCTTCGATTACTAGCCCAATGCGTTACATTTCATTTCATAATTTCATAATGAAAATATTGAACAAAGATTATTGTACCATAATTTGAAATCCAAACAGGTCATATATGGACTCATTTTAGGCAAGTATATTATATTCAAGGGCATTAAATAACTTCTCCTTTTTCCATTGATTTTTTTTCCCCCTTTTGAATTTGGGATGTCCCAGATTTATAGGATCTTCACTGAGGCTCTAAAACTAAAGTTGTAAATGCTGTAAACAGATGGGATATTGCCTTTAACTTTTTTGTCCAGCTTGCACGCTAAAATGTTTGCATTACTACATCCAGATAGTTCTAATGGTCAGTGCATATACACTTTGTTAGATAAAGTGTCCATTTAAAGATATGCTTCTAAAGAATATAAATTTAACACATCAGGAACAGAATGATACAACAAACAAGAGGGCCATGATGGCCCTGAGGTCGCTCACCTGTATATAGGCCCCCGGAGTGGGGCCAGTTTAAACCCCAAGGCTTTTATTTTAACAAACTTGGAAGACACCCATTAGAAGATGTTTCATGTTAAGTTTTTACTACACACATATGATGAAAAACAATGATCTTCCCCCCAGCAGGGCCAATTTTAACACAAGGGCTTTATTTTGAACAAACTTGGTAGACACCCATAAGAAGATGTTTCATGCTAAACATCTAAGCTCTAGCTCATTGGGTTTTTTCAAAGAAGATTTTGTAAGTTTTTACTATACACATTATAGTTAAAAACAATGACACCCCTGGGGCGGGGCAAGTTTTGACCCCAGGGCTTTTATTTGAACAAACTTTGTAGACACTCACTAGAAGATGTTTCATGCTGAATATCTAAACTCTAGCTATTTGGGTTTTTTCAAAGAAGATTTTTAAGTTTTGCTATACACATATAAGGAAAATGAAATACCCCTGGGGCAGGGCCAATTTTGACCCCAGGGCTTTTATTTGAACAAATTTTGTAGACACTCACTAGAAGATGTTTCATGCTTAATATCTAAACTCTAGCTATTTGGGTTTTTTCAAAGAAGATTTTTTCAGTTTTTGCTATACACATATAAGGAAAATCAATGACCCCTGGGGCGGGGCCAATTTTGACCCCAGGGCTTTTATTTGAACAAACTTTGTAGACACTCACTAGAAGATGTTTCATGCTTAATATCTAAACTCTAGCTATTTGGGTTTTTTCAAAGAAGATTTTTTAAGTTTTTGCTATACACATATAAGGAAAATCTATGACCCCTGGGGCGGGGCCAATTTTGACCCCAGGGCTTTTATTTGAACAAATTTTGTAGACACTCACTAGAAGATGTTTCATGCTTAATATCTAAACTCTAGCTATTTGGGTTTTTTCAAAGAAGATTTTTTCAGTTTTTGCTATACACATATAAGGAAAATCAATGACCCCCTGGGGCGGGGCCAATTTTGACCCCAGGGCTTTTATTTGAACAAACTTGGTAGACACCCATTAGAACATGTTTCATGCTAAATATCTTAGCTCTAGCTTTTTGAGTTCTTTAAAAGAAGATTTTTTAAGTTTTTACTATATGCATATAGGGAAAATCAATGACCCCCTGGGGCGGGGCCAATTTTGACCCCAGGGCTTTTATTTGAACAAACTTGGTAGACACTCATTAGAAGATGTTTCATGCCAAATATCTTAGCTCTAGCTATTTTGGTTCTTTAAAAGAAGATTTTTTAAGTTTATACTATATGCATATAGGGAAAATCAATGACCCCCTGGGGCGGGGCCAATTTTAACCCCAGGGCTTTTATTTGAACAAACTTGGTAGACACTCACTAGAAGATGTTTCATGCCAAATATCTAAGCTCTGTCTCTTACGGTTTTTTAAAAGAAGACATTTAAAGTTTTTTCTTTCGGTTGCCATGGCAACCAGAGTTCTGCATGGAATTAAATTCTTTGAACAATTTTTAAAGGTGACCACCAAAGGAACATTCCTGTGAAGTTTGGATGAAATTGGTTTAGTGGTTTATGAGGAGATGTCATTTAAAGTAAAAGTTTACGGCCGGACGGACGCCGGACGAAAAGCGATCACAAAAGCTCACCCTGTCACTTTGTGACAGGTGAGCTAAAAAAGGAGAGTTTATCCTGTTTCTAAAGATCTTTATGCTTCATGTATTATGTTCCACCAAAATTAACTTGGATCTGTAAAACTTACATTTATACATTTAACATCAGGGAGCAGGGGATTAATTTTAGTCATATCTCGGCAGCTAGTCCATCTAACCGACTTCCCTGCAATTTCTGCAATACACTCAATGTCTGAGAAATTCAGTCTTGTCTAAGGATCAAAACAGTGTCTCCAGATTTACAAATCTAATACCGTTTAAGTATTTTTTTCTGCGGGAACTTTATTTCTGCTATTTCTGCGGTTCATAACAACACCGCAGATTTAAAAACCACAGAAAATTAAGCCTTTCCCTATGTACATGTCGGAATATTTCAACTATCGGTATTGAATAATTACATTACCGTGTATCATTATGGGCTGTTGCAGAGATTAATGGTACACTGTATTGGCATTTTTTCTTTATGAAATTTTTATTCTTTATTCGTCGTGAATAAAAGTTTAGAAAATATCATGGTCTCTACATGTGCGCTTTATACCGTTGTTAATACAGCTGTTTTAATATCCCATTTTAAAATATATTAAACGATATCATTATCAAAGTCTTGATAAAAAATGACCCTTGTTTGTTATTGCTATTAAAACCTGCAATAAACATTACTCTTTTGTATTTGTACAAATCCTTGTGTCTATGTGCGATTTTGTCGTTGTTAATTTTCACACTTACCTGCACTTATCTGATAGACATTCTTTTATTCAAATTGTGTTTGAATGTTGTTGTTCTTTTTGTTTATCAACGTGTATATACCAATACATGATGACTACGACGAAACACAATATAAAAGGTTGGAAATAATGGAAGATCAACGAATCTTGAAATGTTGTCTGTTTTATTGGTTGATTTTGTACAAATATCTTTATTAAAACGCAGAAATAAATTGCATCAATGCGAGAATGATGACACCGCAGAAATAAGATACGCAGAAATTTAAAACCCATTATTTTAACAACAAGAACTGTCGGAGGACAGTATTGGCTCGACTATTCAAATATTTGTCACAAGAGTGTTTATTGAGTATAATAATGCCAGTTACCTATGAATACATAAAACTGACCGAAAAGGTACAAAGGCTTGTTATTAAGATGTTTTATCAAGTAAATCACTGCTTTATTATTAATAATGCATAAAAATGTCCCAAAAACACACAAACTCTTCAGTCAGTTTAATGGAGATAACAGGCGGCTTACAAGCAAAACTTTTCCACGAATTTCTAAGTTGAAAAAGGGGAGAAAAATCAGCCTAAATGCAAGATAGATCTTGGTCAGTGACCTACAATTAAATTCTAAATGCATATGTGAAGTTTTAAATAAATATCTTTAATACTTATTGAGATATGTAAAATTTGCATGTAAACATTAACCAAGAGACTAAGTAGAAAAGGGGAGATGAATCAGCCTTAATGCAATAGAGTTATGGAACTTGGTCAGTGACATACAATTATGACTCTCCAATTATGACCCTAAGTACATGTGTAAAGTTTCAAGTAAATATCTTTGAAGACCTTTAACCTTTAACCAAAATTTCTAAGTTTCAAAGGGGCAAATAACTCTGCAAATATTGCAGACAGAGTTATGCAATTTTGCAAACTGATGTACATTGTTACTATAAAAAAGTATTGTAAATTTCAATTGAATATCTCAAGCAATAATTGAGATATTTGACTTTACAAAAAAACTTTAACCAAAATTTCTAAGTTATAAAGGGGCATTATTCTGTAAATATTATAGGTAGAGTTATCCAACTTGTCAATCTGATGTACATTGTTACTATAAATAAGTATTGTAAGTTTCAACTGAATATCTCAAGTAATAATTGAGATATTTGAATTTACAAAAAACTTTAACCAAACTTTCTAAGTTAAAAAGGGGCATAATTCTGTAAATATTGTAGACAGAGTTGTCCAACTTGTCAATCTGATGTACATTGTTACTATAAATAAGTATTGTAAGTTTCAATTGAATATCTCAAGCAATAATTGAGATATCTGAATTTACAAAAAACTTTAACCAAAATTTCTAAGTTAAAAAAGGGGCATAATTCTGTCAATATTGTAGGCAGAGTTATCCAACTTGTCAACCTGATGTACATTGTTACTATAAATAAGTATTGTAAGTTTCAATTGAATATCTCAAGCAATAATTGAGATATTTGAATTTTCAAAAAACTTTAACCAACGCCGACGCGGACGCTGACGCCGACGCCGGGGCGACTACAATAGCTCTCATATTCTTCGAATAGTCGAGCTAAAAATCGCAGAATATTAAGCCCGCAGAAATAAGTACTTATACGGTACTCTCTATTGAGCTAAGCCAGTGGTCACACATTACACTGGAAACATGTTGTCAAGTAAGATAGAAGTAAAGGATGTAACAAGACTTAAATGATTATAGTAAATTATAAGACTTTATTCAAAAACTTAATTTATACAGAACTACATTTCAAAAGAACATTAATAAGCTGTATTTACAACAAGAAAGCTATGATGGCAATAAATAAATATAATGATATACCCGTGACAGTTGTAACTAGGAATGGCAACAAATATCGACTTCAGTACTTTAATACTCAGTCATTCTTTGGATTGAGTACTTGGACAATATCTTTGACTTTCAAAATGTGTAACCATTTTTGAAGTATTTTCCGTTTCTGTCAAACCAGTAATGAGAACAAAGAAGATAATTCATTTATAAGAAAGACATCAGCAGCAATCAACTATTGTTTTCCCTTTAGATAACACAGAATTGACTAGAACTAGAAAATGTAAAGAATGTAACTTGAAAATAAAAAAATATATTTATTGTTATTCAAAGATGTAATAAATCACTTAGATCGGACATTCATGAAAGCTATAAGCCCTTCACTGCTGTTTATAAGTCCCTCAGAACAAATTTCTGCAACACACTGGTAATTAAATGTCATAAGGAGACAACAAAGCTCAACTAATTAAATACTGGATGCAGTAGGGAAGACAAAACTATAAAAGAAAAAACAATTAAGATATAAATAAATTCCTCTATCAGTATCATGTATGGCTCTTAAGTCTAGAGTAGATACAATTTATAATAACAAAGATAATACTAAAAAAAATCATTTTACAAATTAATTCTTACTTCCAAAATTAAATGGAGATTATTATGGGAATACAGGTGCTTGCGTTTTATAATTCTTATCCATATGACAAGAATTTATAGTAAAAAAATAACATTTGTTAACATAAATTCCAAGTTCAAGGGGAACAACTCTTGAAATAGTCAGTTATGACCTTGGAGTTATCAACCTTGTCACACAACGTGTGTAATGTAAGAAATATATATTTGAAGTCTGAGGTAGATTACTTTAAAACTGATATATATTTGAATACTTAATTTATCGAACTCATTGAATAAAACAATGTTATGCTTGCCAGAGGCTTGAATAGTATGATTTTATTGAACATTTTCAATAAAATTTAGTATTAAACCTACACACATTTAATATCCTCTATTAATACTGTATTTTGCAATGTTGCTTTTCATTGAACAATCATGACATTTATATAGTTTGATTTACACAGTTGTTGTCAATTTTTTAAGAAATCTCACTCGTTTTCCTCTAAGAAAGAACTTTGCTTATTATAAATTTGTTATAAAGATGCCTGACAGGTTATATGGCCTTATATAAACTGTTATTCAGCAACTTGGGTTATATTTCCACACAACTGTTTATATACCGCCATACCATTCTGTCAAAAATATAACTAATATTATATTGAAAACTGAGCTGAATTTACTCCATATAACACCATATTTCTAGCCCACGGCTAAAATCTAGCTGATCTACCTTTACAAATTGTGACATATCTTATGTATCTTTTTAATGAGTGCAAGTGAACTATGCTGCCTTGAATCACTTTATGTTCACTTAACAATATTTTTGTTATCTAAAACATCTTTTTCATACAATCATCATTTAACAAAGTGTTTCTTTAAGCCCCATATGCTAGATTGCATTAATTGGTTTGACTATAAAGGCTATTTGTTTAAATTTTTCATTGTATTTTCTTTTTTTGGTTATATCATGATTAGCATCATATTGTTTGCTTGAAGATCCATCAAGTACTTGATTTAACTCTTCATTTTCTATCTTATCAAACACATATTTAAATGCATCTAGCTCACATTCTCTGCAATGCCTGACTATATGTTCCTGAACTTCTTTGACCATTGTGTTTTGATGACAATAATGAGTCTGAGTTTTGCTTGGACTAAAGTTTGTTTCCATTTCTGCTGTTTGATCAACAAATGAAGAAGTCCTGGCTTCCTTTTGACTTCCTATATTTACAAGTATGGACATATTTGTAGTACAATTTGAACGTGCCAATAGTTCTGAATCAACCTTGGAAATTGTACTTTTGATTCCCTCTGTAACTGTAGACCTGTGTTGAGAACCTTTGCTAACAAAGGTTGAAGAGTTTCCCTCTTCATCACCTTGACTAGCACTGTGTACTGTTGATAATTCAGGTTTTTCTCTTTTCTCAATTTCATTTCTATGCTGAGCTCTGTCATTTGCAGTATAATTACCAACATCTGGATCATCTGCACATGTAACTTGATTCCTTTCATCTTCGCAATTTCCTTTTTTGTCTTTAGCTTTTACAATAAACTTCATTTTACGTCTTTGAGTTAATCTATTACCAATACTGACATTCAAATTGCATACTTGAGTACCAGCCTGAGCAACTACCGATTCACTGAATGAATCTAGATCATCAAACAGTTCTGCTTCAGCTTTGCTATCATTTTCTTTGCGTGAATTAACATTTCTTTCATTTGACTTGCTAATATCTCCTTTGTTTGCAGGTTCTTCCAATAAAGGGTCTGTTTTTACAATGTTTTGCTGTAAAAATTCTTTTTCGTTTTCAGAATCAGAACAAATTACAAGATTATTGTCTCTTTCACAATCTTTTGCTGGCTCAATTTCCTTAATTTCACCTTTTATAACATTTTCCTCCTCAGACAATGATTCTCCCATCTTTCCTGAGTCTGTACACAATTTTGTAGCAAAATAAATTTCCTGATCTGTTGATGCCACTGCTTTAGATTTAGCTTTACCTTTTGTTTCAGTGACATACTGTGACAAAGTTGTCTGCTTGAGACTATCTGACCTTTTTAATTTACCATCAATTCTCATCCTTTCACTTATAGGTTCCTTTTTGTCACTTTTCCTTTTAGTTTTTTCACATTTCCCATTGTCTGCATACTTTTTTCTGCCATTTTTCACTTTTTCATTTGTTTTATATCCTGGACTGGCATTTTTACCAGTAAATCCTTTTTCATTGCCACCTTTTCCTTTGTTCAATATTGAAATATCAGTTTCACTTTGTTCATCAGACAATTTATCCATCTGCATGTCAAGATTATCCGTAAATTGTGAGCTTTCCAGAACCCACTTGGCCGTCTCACTCATTTTACTGTCTTCCTCAATATCATTTGTCATTGATGTACTTATATCATTAAAACTTCTGAATCTTTTATTTGTCTTACTATAGGTTCTCATTCCGAACACATTGTCAAATGATAAATCTTTGTTTGAACAAACAAACTGTAGAGGTAACTTCTCTGCAGGCTTCTTGCCCAGTGATTTAATTGTGTATTTTCTATTCTGATTTCCACTGACTTCTCTACAAACTCCTTTATCAATTCCTTCTTTTCCCTTTGTAAGATTATCGTGTGAACTTTCATTGTTGACTTTTAGTTGTTTAACCTTTTGATTTTCACCTTGCTGCCTCAAGTTCAGCTCAAGTTTTTCTGAATTATTATTTATTACATTTCTATTTTTGTCAGTTATCTTTTCTGTCTTTGCAGTTTTGATTCTTTCTTCTCCTTGAATCTTGATACAATCAACTTTTGAACGTTTCACTGCAACCTGATCAAACAGTAATTGTCTTACATGACTTGAATCTTTACCCAAGTTATTTGAATTTTCTTTGTCATCTTTAGAGCTATACTCCTTATCTTTTTGTTTTGATGATGATAAAGGACTCTTTACTTTTTGCTGAGTTTTTTGTTTAGAAGCTGATGCTGGATGTTCATTGTTGTGTTTGGCTGTAGATAATGGGCTATCATAATCAATTCCTCTTTTCACTTTCTTTGTTGGTGGTTTAAGTTTCGTTTTCCTCTTTAGTCCATTCTTCTCTACAGCTAAGACTTTAGAAGTTTTACAGTACATAAAAGCCTGGACAGAAACTGGTATTTCAATCCTACTAGTCCACCCACTTGAGGTAAATTTGTCAAAACATGCCATATCAGCTCTATCTGCTACACTTATTCCAAAAGGACCTCTTGAGTTGCTCTTTACAATAGGAATTATCTTCTTTGGTTTGATTAGTGAAACAAATTCATTCAATTCAGTATATGAACTATGATCTGAGTATGGCACAACAAAAACTTTATCATTGTTTTCATATGGGGTAGCTTCTATCCCACGGTATAAAGCTGTTGGCAATATAACAATTGTTTCTTGCTCTTGATTTACCACCTCTACAAACCTGTTGCTAATTTTATGGAAAGGCACAATACGAATCCTGTGACTGGCAGAATCTGTACTAAATACATCAGGAGCTTCTAGAATTTCCAGCGTTTTATAAAACTTGTCAGGTACTGAAATCCATTCCTGGAAATGCATTGCAATTTTACAGAGCAGACTCTCCTTTCCTAGATTTCTCATTGCTATCAGCACATCTTTATTTGGATGTTTTTCAATAATTTCTATGATTTGGTTAGTAGCCTCATCCTTTGTAGGAAACACACAGCCAGGAGAACAATAGGTATTATCAAGGTATAACATGTCAACTCTACCTGCAAAACGTAAAATACAATTATGCAATATATCTTTTATATGAATGTGAAATACAATGATAACAATACTATTGTATCATAGTTTGGGGACCTTTCTGTTGAAAATATGGCAGAGTTAAATTGTATACATATACATGCACAGTACGTTAACTGGAGTGCAGGTATTAGTTACCCGCACTCCAGAGCATGCCCATTGATTGGCTCATTTTTGTTGGGGTTTACTTATTGTGACGGAAGAGAAAGGGAAAGCGACAGAAATATCATATTCAGATGCTCGTTCATTGGTTACTTTTTTCTGGGGTTTCATATTGTGACAACAGGGAACGTGTTTTTATGTTTGACTATGATACAAAAGAGAAAGAACATCAAAACACTCGGCAATCTGATTAATACTCTCGTACAAATCAGATAGCCTCGTGTTTCGATGCTCTTTCTATTACTTATACTACTCATTTATGGGACTCCACTGAGGAATTTCAACATGATGGGTCTAGAAATATTTTTCAAAAACTTATGTACCATTTGATGTAGGTCTGGATTAATACCTTGTGTGCCTATTTTCAGGTTATTCTCTCTAACCGTTTTTCCAGACTCGTCATTTCTATTGTGCAAAATTGACAAAAAATGCTCAAATCTGGCTTGGAATCGCACAAAATAATAATGTTATGTGCTCCACGTAATCTGTGTAAGATTTTCAAACTGTATTTTTATGCCTTTGGATGTCAATGGAGTTCCTTAAATGCAAGACAGTCCTAATGAATGGAAAAACTAGGAATTAGATATTACATCAAAACTGTTATGGCCATATATTGAGTATCCAGTTTTTAGCCAGTAGTGGAGGCCCCAGATATCCCTTTTTATTTACAACAAGGGCAGTCACCTGTCTTTAACTATCAAATATTCCAAAGCAAGGTAAATAGTGTCTTAGGAATAAATTTACTGTTATGTTGGGTTTTAAGTTACACTAGCATAGTAAAGGTCATATGGCAACAATCCAGTTTTACTGGTGAAGGAAGATCTCAGAAGCTACTTTGAGCATTATTTCTGACAGACATGGGCACCTGAGTAGAACCACTGACTTTTCATATGCTTCTGGATAGTAGGGAGAGTGATCCAACACAACAATAAGACTAATATACCTGAAGTTAGTTTTTGTTTATAGTTGACCTGCATAAATGCTTTTAAAATTTAGTATTTCTACTTAAAATCAATATAGCCCCTCCAATACAATAAAACTTACTAAAAATAACATATCTAAATACAAGTATATATCAAAATATAACTTACCTGAAAACTCTGACAAGATAGACTGGTTTATCATATCTGGATGGTATCTGAAGTCTCCTGTATGTAGAATGGTACCAAAATATCCCTGCATAAGGAACATGACAGCCCCAGGACAATGGTTGGCTTCTATTGCAGTCACTGTCATTTGTTCTTTTTGCTCATTGTCCAGATAAATTATCTCTGCACTCTCAGTCTGAAATTGTGCATTCAATGAATCATAATTAAATTAATGAGCCGCCCTAGTCTGATCGGGATCCATGATGTTTGCTATCAGTTTCTCTTCTTGTAATAGGGTTTGTAGGTGAACAACATGGATCCAGATCAGACTGCACGGATGCGCAGGCTGGTCTGGATCCATGCTGGTCACAAACGCTCTATGTTGGTTTGGTCATGGCGTGGTTCAAATTTTGTACATTCATCATTTCATCAATCTATCATGTTATAGAGATGCAGAATGTAACCTGGACCACTAACACATCATGTATGTCTTGTTATGCAGGATAGTGAAAATAACAGATAATAATACAGAAATTGTTCAAGAGTAATGCCAAGTCTGTGCACTATATTGCAGTAAGTAAAGTTAGTAAACAGATCAATACGCTAATTCATTTCTTTCAATTTGATGTTCTGTATTAAGATACAATGTAATTGGTCATTTTACTTACAGTGTTCCTCGTTTTGGTCGTATATTGATATATATTCTGTGTTACTATTGCAAAATTCCTGCATTATTTCTATATTCCTGAATTAAAGATATAGATGGCTTAAAACACACTGCTCAGCTTATTAAGCAAAAAAAGATTGATGATAGCAGCCCATCATGGGAATGAAACTTTTGAAATTTAGCAAGGACTTGACATTAATTTCTTGCGATGAGCACCATAGAATTAAATTTAGGTAAAATCTGAATTGCTGTTTAACATTTGTCGTCAATATTAGCATTTGAAAATATCATGTAGAAAATATATGCACAGTAAAATAAATAAATAAATAAATAAAATTGTCAAATATTGGGATGTTTGAAAATAAGAGAGAGTAAAATTTAAAATACCTGCATAGTGTGAATAAGGTCCTCCTTAATGCCATACCTCTGAACCAGTAACTTGCCAGTTATCTCAGAACAATATATAGGATAGCTCCATGAAGAGGTCAGGCCTTTAATTGAAATCATATTCATAAAAAATAATTAAAAAAAGAAATCATTCCTCTTAGTATTTCCAAACTAGAATGTCTTCTAAAAAAAACAACAACAACAACAGCTTCTTTAAATGAAAGTTTGATAAAGAATATTTTTTTATTAAAGCAATAAAGGGTTAGGATATCAACTTTAAAAGCAACAATTCATGCTTTGGTACCTAATACATTTTTCTTCTTTTAGAAATGATACGCATATACCTACAATTTTATCTGGCAGAGTTCAATCATAACGTTATTGTAATAAAATCTGGCATGTTAAATAAACCTTTCAAAGATTATCAACTTTTCAACATTTTATAACAATCCTACAAATTCTCTTAAAAGAAAAAAGATAAACGATCAAATTCAATATATATAATAATCCAAAACCTTGTATTATTTGTCCCTGCATGAATTTAGTTTGTTTCTTTTTGCCTGCAATACATGTAACTTTTTGTTAAATTTCTTTTGAATCGATGAAAGATTGTTTTTTACTGTGATGTACAATGTTATTTACAATATACATTACCTGTGATATGGTCCCCATGAAGATGTGTTAGAAAGAATATCCTAGCATGTGGACATTCTCGGATCTTCCAAAAGTCAACAGCAATTGGTGTATGTGGTATAAGTGTCCCGTTCATGGTTTCTTTCTCATTATTGGCATGCAATAACTATTCTGTAAAGAAAAACAAATGAGAATCTACAGTTTCATCTAAATAATGAATGCCATTTCATATAATACAAGAAGTATGTCATCTCATATCTTTAAATGCATTTAACTGAACTATTACATGGCTGCTCTGAATGCAGACTGTGAATATATATTTATGTACATGTATATAAATATCTGTTCAGTGTTCAAAATTTTATCACAATTAATTAGAAACGAAACCATGTTTCAAAATCAAACATGTACATTATTCAGGTCAGTTTTAAAAGTAATAATGTTTTAGCCAAAACATTTGAGCCGTGACATGACAAAACCAACATAATGCGTTTGCAATCAGCATGGATCCAGACCAGCCTGCGCATCCGCGCAGTCTGATCAGGATCCATGCTGTTCGCTTGCAAACCCTATAACAAGTAGAGAAATTGAAAGCGAACAGCATGGATCCTGATCAAACTGCGCTATAGCGGAAGCTGGTCTGGATCCATGCTGGTCGCAAACCCATTATGTTGGTTTTGTCCTGGCGCAGCTCATTTGTTGATAGATACAATTATACGGAAACATGAGAGCTGCTATTAAATATACTGGCTATTGATTGTGTAATAGGGCAGGTTGTTTCCCTTTGTAAATAAATGTTCTGATTTTTGACACTTATTGAATTAGGTTATAAATTGTTATTTGCCTTTTATTTTTGGTACATGAAATTGTAATTTGTTACATTTTATAAAATAGTTTGTACACAACATATCGAGTAAATTTTTAGCTATTAAAATTGTCAAGATAAAGAAGTTCTCAGGTATAAAACTTTAATCATTTTGTTTTTGATAGTTATTCTTAATTTGGATTATTTTGTTTTAAAAATAACTTAATTATAAGATTGAATGAAGTTGACCTTTTCAGTGTTTTTTCATTAGTCGATTTTTGTGCCCCCACTTTAGTGGCGGGCATTTAGATTTACCCTTGTCCGTCCGTCCTTCCGTCCGTCCTTCCGTCCGTCCTTCCGTCCGTCCGTTCACTTTTGTGTCGCACGTAACTCAAAAAGTATTTGACCTAGAGTCATGAAACTTTACAGGAATGTTGATCAGCATGTGTAGTTGTGCCCCTGGGTATTTTGGTCGGGATATTTTTAGTATTTTCAGAGTTATTGCCCTTGACTTAGTAAAATTTTGCAATTTTCAACTTGTGTCGCATGTAACTCCAAAAGTATTTGACCTACAGTCATGAAACTTTACAGGAATGTTGATCAGCATGTGTAGTTGTGCACCTGGGTATTTTCGTCTGGATATTTTTAGTATTTTCAGAGTTAATGCCCTTGACTTAGTAAAATTTTGCAATTTTCAACTTGTGTCGCATGTAACTCAAAAAGTATTTGACCTAGAGTCATGAAACTTTACAGGAATGTTGATCAGCATGTGTGGTTGTGCACCTGGGTATTTTCGTGTGCATATTTTTAGTATTTTTAGAGTTATTGCCCTTGACTTAGTAAAATTTGGCAATTTTTAACTTGTGTCGCACATAACTCAAAAAGTATTTGACCTAGAGTCATGAAACTTTACAGGAATGTTGATCAGCATGTGTAGTTGTGCACCTGGGTATTTTCATCTGGATATTTTTAGTATTTTCAGAGTTATTGCCCTTGACTTAGTAAAATTTGGCAATTTTCAACATGTGTCGCACATAACTCAAAAAGTATTTGACCTAGAGTCATGTAACTTTACAGGAATATTGATCAGCATGTGCAGTTGTGCACCAGGCATTTTCGTCTGGATTTATTTAGTATTTTTAGAGTTATTGCCCTTCACGTAGAATTTTTTTGCAATTTTCAACTTGTGTCGCAAGTTTCTCAAAAAGGATTTGACATACTAAGTCAATAAACCTTATGGGCAGGTTGCACAGCATATTTTAGATTTGCACCTGGGGTTTGGCTTGTGGATTTATCCAGTATTTGTAGAGTTATTTCCCTTGACTTAGTAAAAAGATTGACAGAACAGTGTCGCGGTGGGGGCACCCGTGTCCTATGGACACATTTCTAGTTGTTTATGGTTTACGTCAGCAATAAACATCTTTTTATTGGTCGCTTCTGTTTTTGGCGGTAGATTTACGTCAGCAATAAACATCTTTTTATTGGTCGCTTCTGTTTTTGGCGGTAAATATTTTTGACCATTCGTTTCCTGGGCATTTTTGCCATTCTGTATTTCGTCGACTTAGAGATCACATGTTTTGATAATTGAAAATTTTTTAAATCAGTATCTAGTATTCGTAATTATTTAAGTGGGATCAGAACTGTTCATCAGTTACTGGGATTTGATTTAAATGAAATGAACATTTTTCTGGTTAATTTTACACTTCGTGGCATTTCCAGATTGAAATGTCACTGTGTCAAACAAGCTGAACCTATAACTCCTTTCATACTTAACAAAATTTTTTTGGCTTTAGACTTCAAAGACACTGAGAATTTGACTTATTGGTGTCTATTTATATTTGCCTTTTTCTTACTTGCTCGCAAATCAAATTTGGTTCCTACCACTAGTAAAGATTTAATTAATCATAAGTGTTTACTTAGATCTGATGTTACTCGTTTTCATGCTAATTTATTAGTTACTATGAATTGGTCAAAAACTATCCAGTTTGGCGAACGGCTTTTACAGACCCCTTTATTGAGATTAAGAGGTTCCCATTTATGTCCGGTTACAGCTTATGATAACATGTTAAAAGGGGTACCTGGCGTTTCGTCAGATGCTTTATTTCTTTTACCTAATGGTAAACCTGTAACTTATTATTTATATCAAAATAAGTTACGTAATATTTTGAATGATATTGGTTTAGATTCTTCCTTGTACTCTTCACATTCATTCAGACGTGGTTTTGCCACTCTTGCATTTAGGAATAATGTTAGTTCTGATGAAATTCAAATTCTTGGAGATTGGCATTCTGACGTTTACAAACGTTACATTTCACTATCTATAGAGGATAAGTGTAAAATAATTAAAGATATTTCACATATATTTTATGTTTAAAAATACATGTATAGTATGGCATTGTATTTATCAAAGTTTTATGTTTTCAGAACATGTAAATCATCCACCACTGCGCAAGTGTACAATAGTCTCCGACTCCATAGCGAAAAATGTTTCTGGAATTTGGGATACCAAAATTACAGCCTTTCCAGGGATTAATATTTCAAGATTAAGCTATAGAATTTCTCAAGGTCAGGTAGATTTAAGATCTTCATTCATTATTTTACATGTGGGCACCAATGATGTTACTGGTCCCCGTTCAGAGGATGAGATAATTTCATCCTTTAATGATTTGATATCTAACGTTCGACATCAATCTACTGGTAGTATTATCGTATCTGCTATTATTCCTCGACCAATTGATTTTGAGTCCACTGGTGATAGAGTTAAAAATTTAAATAATAAGTTAGTTTTATTATGCAACTCCAGAAAGGTTTCATTTATTAGAACCTTCAAGCCATTTCTTAAATGTGGTTTACCACGTCGTGAATATTATGCCATTAAGGATGGGGGGTTACATTTAAATCTTGAAGGGACCCGACGTTTAAAGGAATTCTTTATAAATACTATTGCGCACTTGAAATAATAAGTGTTGGATGATACATGAATTGGGATAAAAGATTATAAAGAGCATTATTATAAATAATCTTTAAGATAAATTGTCAAATGGGTAGTATTAGAAATATGCTGACTTTATGCTTTTGTTTGAGATACATTGTTTCTCATGAAAGGCTTGATCTTACAATTCGGCATTGGCCGGCATTGAAGGTTATTACTGCTAAGGAGATAATATGTAAGTCTCTTAGTGGGTTATTTAATACTGCTCATTTGTATTGATGATTTGTTAATTTGTTTCTGATTCAGTTGTTGCATTGAATCTTATAATGATTTGAATTTCTTTACTATTAAATTATGTTCTTTGTCTTTGCCTGAGATACACTGTTTCTCAGGAAAGACTATCTTGCAAGCTGGCGATGGCTAGTCTTGAAGGTTATACTACTAAGGAGGTAATAAGAAAGCCTCTTAGTAGGTTTTGTTCATAGTTTGTTAAGTGTATTTATATGCTCTTGCTTACTTGTTTTTTATTTTGGCCGTGGGTTTGGCTTTATGGTAAATATTACTCTTGTAGTAATCATTATGCTCACAAATAGACATTCAAACAAGTTATGATGTGAGTTATAAATGTTTTAAATGCATAATATAAGTGTGTTCTCATACAATGTTTGTATGAATTTGTCTTTGATCACTTGTATATGAAATAGATGACTTATATATGTGGTGAATGTTATGTATGAATTTGATTCATGTGATCTCTCAATTGCCTAAAAATATATATTCATATGACAGAAATTTTCTTTTGTTATTTTTTCTGATTGAAAACTGATAATTTGGATTATTTTGTTTTAAAAATAACTTAATTATAAGATTGAATGAAGTTGACCTTTTCAGTGTTTTTTCATTAGTCGATTTTTGTTTATGGTTTACGTCAGCAATAAACATCTTTTTATTGGTCGCTTCTGTTTTTGGCGGTAGATTTACGTCAGCAATAAACATCTTTTTATTGGTCGCTTCTGTTTTTGGCGGTAAATATTTTTGACCATTTGTTTCCTGGGCATTTTTGTCATTCTGTATTTCGTCGACTTAGAGATCACATGTTTTGATAATTGAAAAATTTTCCCACCCTTCTCTCCCAATTAATATGTTGATGGTTAATATTATATTATATATTATATTGGTTAATATATGTATTTTATTAAAATTTAGATATTGCTTTATGGTAAATATTACTCTTGTAGTAATCATTATGCTCACAAATAGACATTCAAACAAGTTATGATGTGAGTTATAAATGTTTTAAATGCATAATATAAGTGTGTTCTCATACAATGTTTGTATGAATTTGTCTTTGATCACTTGTATATGAAATAGATGACTTATATATGTGGTGAATGTTATGTATGAATTTGATTCATGTGATCTCTCAATTGCCTAAAAATATATATTCATATGACAGAAATTTTCTTTTGTTATTTTTTCTGATTGAAAACTGATAATTTATATTTATGAAGCAAAATGTTTAAAATAGTATGTTGATATATTGGTTGATTAGAAATAATAAATACTTTGGTATATAAGGTCAGATTTTATTGGCATCATTGGTAGCAAAGGTTACAAAGCCAAGCTACCGCCCCTTCCCATATCTAAATTTATTAGGTATTATATTTATAAAAGTAAATTATTTAGTATTTCTTTATTAAAGTAAAAGTACAGTATATCTGTTATCCATTACTCTGCATTGAAAGTTCTTTATATTAAATTTGGTAGTTGTTATTGAATTTAATGTCTATATTTTGATAAATTTAAAGTTTATATGTTTAAATAAAGAACATTGCCGTATAAGTATTTAATTTTGTATTAAAAATCAGAACTGGAAACTTGGTGTTTTTGTCATTTCTTGCAGCAAATATTCGGGGTAAAGGGACGAAGTGAGTCCAAGCTTCTAAGGCTCTATAAATCAGTAGCAAGTAAAAGGGAGAGGAACTTGCGAAGCCAGGTTGTGATAATTTGCAACCTGTCGCCTCGGAAGTAGCCCTCTCCTGCTACAATTGGCTGCAGTAACTTGAGAAATGGCTTAGTAAAAGTTAGTGTCATGGTTCAGAACCAGGGGTCGACAAATCCACTTGCCTGCTTGCATTTGCAAGTGAAAGTTCGGGTCTGGCAAGAATTTTTTCTATCAAACTTGCCCTTATCCAAATGATGTGTCTCTAAACATTTAATAGTAAGGAAATTTTTTGGTAAAAAAAATCAAACTGCAGGCGCCATTTCAATCTCGTAATACTATCTCGTAAGCTGCAGGATAGCTCAGTAGGTAGAGCCGTGGCACAGTGTTCTAAACACCCTGGGTTCGAGTCCAGGTCAGGCTTCACATTTTTCTCACCCTGTGACAAACAACCAAAAAACAAGAAGTGGCGTGAGTAACTGGTAGGGTTGTTAAATAAATTACTATGAACAATCAAAAATAGAGATATGACTATTCAATAAGAATGCTTGTTAAAGATAGGGCCAGAAGAAAATACTGATGGATGCAGAACTGAGAAGCTGTTGTCAAAATAAATTGAGTATTCTATAATATTTAAAATAATACGTAATTCCGTTGAACCTCCAAATACATCAGTTGATGAATTTCATCTTTAACTTGTGATGTACTTCGTAATATATTGGAAAATTTTAATTCCTTAAGTACTGACTATTCTCCATCTCGAGTTCCGATGTCTTGTAATTTGTTCTGGTTTTGGTCTATACTGCAGTATATCCTTAGTCCAATATATTAGACGCTACAGACTTGTTATAGTTTTTGTTGCTCAAGTTGCTTTGCCCAGAAGCAAAAATATCTCAAAGCGACGTCATATTTATATGACTAACAGGGCTTGAGCTAGGTCAAAATTTTAGGGAGAAGTGACTTCTCCCTCCAGTTGATTTAGGGAGAAGTGAGGAGACTTTAGGGAGAAGTTGGGAGACATGTTAGGCGTCATCCGGAGACATGTTTCATGTCATTTTTTCTTTGGACTTATAAGCTTAGGAAACTTTACAAACCATAAAAGAAATAAGAAACACTTCTCAAATAAAACAATTCTATTATAAATCTACTGTGCATAAAATGTAAGAAATAACAATCACAATGTTCACATGTTATTATAACATAAACAATGTAGTGGCAAACAATATGAACTAAGTTACATTTTGTCAACATAATTCTATGCATTTTAATAACAACAAGTATGATACAGTACTTAAGAAGTCTAAATCTGAAATAGCACACTTTCAGGTATGTAAGAAAATATCTGTCATCACTTAGCATTTACTCAGTCATTGTTTTATAATGTAGTGGCAAACAATATGAATTAAATTACATTTTATCAACATAATTCTATGCATTTTAATAACAACAAGTATGATACAGTACTTAAAAAGTCTTAATCTGACATAGCACACTTTCAGGTATGTAAGAAAACAAATATTTGTCATCAGTTAGCATTTTCTCAGTCATTGTTTTAAGCAAGCATTCAGCTTTTCACACTTTTCTAGTAAGCATAAAGCTTTCTCCTTTTCTCAGATTTCCATTTTTTCAGGGCTCTGTCAAAGTCAAATTTCATAATATCTGGACCATCCTCTGAAATTCTCATCAGATTGTCAAGGGTTTCACTTTTAATGGAAGTTCTAAGTTTTGACTTAATTCTGTTTTGTGTGGAGAAACCACGTTCACACTGGACACTGGACATTGGCAATACCACACAACATTTCAAAATGGTTAGGACATTGGGGATCATTTCACTGTACTTTTTCTGCATTTCACACACTATTTCAATTAGTGACATATTTCTATAACTACCACAGACAAGTCTCTTGAACTGCTGGTATTCTGAGAGACACAAATCAATGCTGCCTGTAACATGGGGGGCATAATGGTCAACTAAGTCCTTGAATTCATTAACTCCATATTTTGCTACAGACTCTGCAGTAATGATATTAGCAGGCACTAACACATTCATGTTTGAAATTACTTTCCTGTCCTGAAATCTGTCCTGTAGATTTTCAACCAACTTGCCAACATATTTGTTCATCACTTTGTTTACAACATTTTTCTGCTGAGTGTAGTATTTCAGTTCTGGGTGAAATGCTGAAGTTTCTACAAACTCGGTGTCATTGTCACTGTCTTCATTACTTTCAAAACCTTCAAATTCAATATTACTTTTCACAGTTTCCTTAACAGTTTCAAGTTGAGATTCAGAATCTGGACGGACATACAGAACTTTGTCATCACTTTCCTTAACAAAACATGACAACTTATCAACAAATGCACCTTCACATTCAACTAAGTCCTCTAAACTGTCACAGGTGCTCTGCACTAAAGGGTCAATCATGCTGAAGTCTAGAACCTTACTCTGAAAGTTTTTTGAAAGGCGTCCCATAAATGGCAAAATGTCCATCATGACATGTGTCATTGCGATGAATTTGAACTGTATTACATCATTAAAAAGTCCCTTAGCTGCACTATCGTATATTGCTTCACGTTCTAAGCACATGCACAAAGCAGGGTATGACCTGTATATAGCTGTCACAGCATTTTCCATACTTAACCATCTTACAGAGTGTACTTCTGAAAATTTCAACTCGGGCAGATTCAATACTGATTGGATGGCACGAAGACGGTTGGATCTGAGCGATGAATTACTGAAATACCTAAACACTGAAGATACAGTTCTGGAGTATTCGTCCATTTCATGTACATACTTAGCTGCCTGAGAGGTGGCAAGAGCAGTTCTGTGTGCAGCACAGTGTGCACCAACTAATGATGGAGAATGTTCCTTTAATTTTACTACAACACCATTTTTTCTCCCTGTCATGACACTTGCACCGTCGGTACCTATCCCAACCATTTTAGATATGTCAAGTCCCTTAGATTTCAGTTCATCAATCACCATTTCAACAATGTTGTCTGCATTACCAGAACCCGCTGTAAGTTGCTTATTTGAGAGCAGACAGTATTCTAATCCATCTAATGTAACATACTGGGCATACATTAACACTCGTTTCTGATTACCAATGTCAGTACTCTCATCCAAGACAATTGAGAACACCCCAGATTTTTTAACAAGTTCCATTTTGTCTTCTAGAATAACACCTGCTAAAGCACTATGAAATTCTGATACACTGGTTCCACTAGTATAGTCTGAATTTGAATGTTGCATTTCATTTACTTTACACCCTATTGTCCCAACAAAGTTAATCATATGTTTCATTTCAGATTTTGGAAGTTCTCTTTTAGCGATGTAATAAGCACATTTCAAGTACTGCACAGCAGTTTCATCATCTTTTGATAGTTTCTTGTCAATCAGTTTCTGCATGGGTTGTTGTGACTTTAATTTTGACCTTGAAACTGCATTCAAGTGACTTTGTGCTGAAAATAGAAAGAAAAAAATGTAACATATATTAAACAAATAAAATCGATCATTTCAAGTACATGTACATGTTGATAACAAAAAAAAATCAAAATTTTCAAGCAGTTAAACTTACAGGCAGCATGCCTTGTGTGATTTGTTGTCTTTGCAGGGTTATCATGACCCTTAGAGTATGCCCCTTCAATCTTGCTTTCACGGCAGATACAACAGTGCCACTTGCCATTGGCATCTTGAACATACCAGTCAAAAGAAGTTTGATTCATTTCTTTTGTGAATTTTTTCTTTAAAGCTGGAGTGTCAGACTGGTCATCGTCTAATTTTCGTTTGCTTGAAGGTTTGGGCGATTCGCCCACAAGCCATGATGTTAGAGACATTTAATTAATATTGGATTAACAATTTGTCAGTGTATTAACTTTACGGCGTTCAAAGTATTAATAAAAAAATATTAACAAATCTTCACATAATTTCTACAGATAAGTGCTCCAATGATTTTTAACAATCAAATTCGCATATATTCACACCTTTAAGGCGTCGGACATTGTCTTACCTTTACTCGCCAAGCACCGCGACAATTAGCAACAATTATGTATATGTCGGTGTCTTTAATCGTGTAAATCTGTGAAAATTGACATTGTCTGTCGCCATTTTGTGTTATTGTCAATTAATAGCCACAGCATATTAGAGTGTCGCTGATTGGTCGATGTGAACTGGCGTAGATACAACGCGCGCTCTGATTCGTCAATCGCATGAGACAGATATACATATTGAACTTTTGCCTTGCGGCGTGTATTTGACTTTGTTGACAACTTGGCACGCGTTGTAAACAAGCGGATTACCGGTAATTGGTTGTAATTGACAAGTACACAAATAGTAAAGAGACCTAGCGTCGTAAATAGGTATGACAGATCCTAAAAAAATCGGGCGACTTCAAAATCGCTTTGAAGTTTGTTTACGGCGAAGTCGCTCATCCGAAGGCGACTTCTTCGCCCAAGTCGCCCCCTAGCTCAAGCCCTGACTAATCTACCGGTACCACTAAAATACGCAACGGAGATTTTTTAATCTACTATATCTGTATATAGCTCCAGTGGTCATCTAATTTTTATAATAAATTTTATGTTCAATTACATTCTTGGATATTATCTGGGACAAAAAGATATCTTCTCTTATCTTACCAGTAAAATTGGTTTACGGATTGCAAAATAGTGTGTTTCAAAGCATTCCCATTTGAAAAAAAAACTGGGAATTCAAAATTATTAGCTGTTTAAAATGGCGCGTTTATATAAAGGGGAAGTAACTTAAAAATTTTGGAATCCAAATATTTGGGTTGAACACTACCAACTACTTTCCTTCATACAGTATATATATTTATGTAAAACTTGCAACAAATAATTTTCTAAACACAAATATACACCTACATTGTGCATTAAATTGCAAATGAATAAAAGTTGTCAACGTTAACAAACTTGTTACACGTTATCTAATTCGTTTGTCCTTATACGAGGGTGTTTACAGTATGCTTTCATATTTGTAGCCACGGAAACTGCATTAATTCGTACCCGAATTTGTATGACAAGCTGCATTTGAAAGGAGTCCATTTTGCACATAGTCCGTACTAAACGTTTAACGGAAAAGACATACATATAAAAATCAGACCTGAATAAAATTCAAATAAATGATCAAATGTCCAACTCTAGATTCCAAAATTTATTCCTAGATAAAACCAAATTCAAACTACAGCTGGACATCAGTTTAATTTTTTTTCAAGGAAATGTTCTTACCTGAAATATCTTGTTTTTCGAAATGGCAATACGTGCATGTATTACATTAATATTATATTTAGTGTTAAATTCATAATTCACGTAGTTTAGATGCCAAAAACTGATATCAAATTTCTCAATCAACTATAAAAAATGTCCTGATTTCATTGTCAATTCAGATTAAGTTCTATAATATGTGTAACACATGGTCGTGTTTTAAAAATCAAAGTCAGGACATGAAAGGCTTTTCTTTGAAGCTTGGATTTCACAAAGTTGGTATAGAGAAGTTAAGTTAAACGTTTCCTCATCAAGTTACATATTACATTAATACCTCTACATGTCTAGAAAGTCTGTACAAAATTGATTCATTGCACGACTACATGTATTTTACAAGTAAGACAACGGTTTAGAACTTAGTTTATACAAATTTATTTTAGTTCGATTGTGTTGGAAGCTATAAGCTTATTGAAACACTCTCTGTTTGGAACTTAACATTTAATTTAATTAAAGAAAACTAGGTTACAGGGTCTTGCTATTTGAAAGACCCTGGTTACATCAACGAATTTTATTTCAAATGGCACAGAGTTATATCTTTAATACAAGTACAAGTCTCTGCAAGTGGTAAATAAATGAATGTCTTACAACTTTGACACGATACAATTTATACAATTGTGTACAGCATACACAATGGTGGATAGATGTGCTTTTTATATAGAGAAGGGGTGATTTTTTTTTTGAAACATTATATTATATTTTCGTTTATAAACAGTTTGCCCTGGTAGAAGGAAGAAATTTATCATAATTATATTAATATATAATACATTGATATCGCGTGATCGTATTATACGTTGAAGTACGCGTACATATTCACGACAGTGGTTTTTCATGGTCGAGTAATTTACAAGGTAAATAGCATGCCCGTTTTTCACCTGTAAATATTTGATAAATTGAATGGGAATAGATCAGCGAGGATCAAGGAAGGATCTGTGATTTCTAGGTGAAATGTGTCAGAAAGTGGAATGTAGGAAATGTGGAAGACCTACATGGGCAGGTAACGATTCAATGATCTAATTAATTGATTTTTTAAGATCGAATTGTGGTCAAAAATATAACTCAGAGGGTTCAAAGTATTTCAACTGTTCTAGTTTCTCAACCCTGCATTATTCATAAGATGCATAAATGATCGTATCCGTGGATTTAATGATCATTTTAAATATGGAATGCTGTTAACTTTATAAATGTGAATCTTAAACCTATACGTAAATAATTAAAAAATTAACTTGAAATTTTACCAATACTGTAAAGTCCTATCATATATTAAAAAAAATACTCCATCCCTTAAATGACAATTATTATTGTACACATATAAAACTTATGTTATTTTTTTTACATCTAAAATGTTTGATAATATTATTATGTTTTTGTGATACAGTGATTGATATTAAAAGGCACACTGAATTAAGTCCTTAATTATATGGGACATATATACAATACACATTTAAATGTCCCAGGTTTTATGAAATATACTCATTTTCTATAGTTATCAGGTATAGATCTATTGAGTATTTGATCATTAATTAATTATACAAATTCATTATCTAAACTTCATTATATAAACTTCATTATATATATTTATTCTAAAGTCATTTTTTTGAAAACATGAAGATATAAAATACATGTTCATTGTATTAAACAACAACAAACAACAACAACAACAACATATTCATTGACAATTCTGGCTGCACACTGTACATAGTATATATATTTATTTATCTTCTTGATTTTACCTGATGAACTTTAAGGGAGTGACTTTATACATGTATATTAATATTTATGTTCAAGCTTTACTTAGCAGTTAATGTTGATGTTTAACATGGTATTAATTAATTAAACTCCTGATGAGGCTAGAAAAATGATATGCATAAAATAATGTTTGCTGTGAAGTTGTCAGTCACTTTATTTGTGTCAACTTAATTAAAAGTGACCATTAATGTAAACATGTGACATGATGTTGATAGTCCTAAGTTTTTATGCATATTCATGAATTGTTAAGGAGACAAAAAAAAAATCTTGGCATTTCAAACCATTTTAAGTTTCCAAATGTAACCTCAAAATTGAAAGGTTAAACAAAAACCTGCCATCAAGCTTTAAGGGACCTAAATGAGGTTTTTTTAAATAACAGGGACTTAATTGAAATAATTTCTCAAGATTAATGTTTCAATTGACGTAGTTCTAGACCAATAATTTGTGTGCAAAATTTTAGACCATTTGCACTCTCCGTTTTTCCAGAAAAATTATTCAAAATGAGAAAAAAATTATCCAAAAATGAAAAGCAAGGCACACATAATTATATGCTTTTCACTTATATCAGGGTACGAATAGCACAAAAGTACAATTTTCAATTTATTTCTGAGTATATTCTTAATTGTCTTTTGCATATAGATATGTCTGTTTTAAATAACCTTGTTGATCTTTGTCAGAAATTAAAATTCTATGTTTTTATGCTTTTGGACCTCAGTGGAACTCCTTTACACTTGTAGTACTGTATTTCTTATAAACATCTAAAAGATTTCTAGAAATTTGATGAAAATCTATTATTGTCAAAAATTTAAATTTACGGTGAGATCAATACATCTTAACAGTTAAAGCATTAACTGTATCGTTATGCTAGAAGATAGTAACTCACAGTTATTATAACTAACTCATTTTATTTATAGACAACAATAGTGTGCAGTAAAAAATGGCAAAAAGGGCATAATTATGGTAAACTTGGTTAGTTTTAACTTAAGCCTATTTAATAGAGTTTGAATGTATTAAGAAATATTTGAGTGCAGCTTCCTTTGATTTGGCACAATGCAATCTGGGACTTAATATCATTTTTTGTCCCAGCAAAATTATTTTTTGTTCCAGCTTCAGCAGTGTCAATTTTGCTGTGTCGGGCTTTCTTTAGGGATTCTGTTTTTCTCTACTCTATTGTACTGGACTGTCATTTGAGGAAATATGGCTTGGACCCCATTGGGGCTTCAACCTGATGTTCTCTGTATAAACAGGTTTTAGACATAAAATGATAATACAGTCTTCCAAGGTACAATTGAATGACTCGTAAGGCTATGAATGTTACTATCCTACGCTATATATATAATGTGAGACACGTAAGGCTATGAATGTTACTATCCTATGCTATATATATAATGAGAGACATGTGGTCATCGGATCATCAGGATTATGACCTGACCTGACCTATCTTAATTATACTATAATGTTGTATAGAGGTGGTTGCTATACAGAGAGGGACACTCTGCAGATGCTATAATGTATCAGCTATTACATGTATTACATAGACTTTATAGTTTTATTGTCGTTATCAATTCTTCATGTTTTCTCATAAAATTTACTTTGAATTTGAATCCTGACAAAAATACATATAAGTTTGAAACCAGTGCTCACTGTGATTAAATAATCTATATCTTAAAACTATCTGGTACTGATATATTTACTTCTTGAGTCTGTTAAATATTTAAACACTGTATACCTTCAGATTCTTGCTGATTTTTATGACAATTTTTAAAATGTATTTTAATTAAGATTGTGAACAAAAAATAATGTACACATTATAAATAACACTTGCAATCTATGGACATAAGCAAAAAGAGGTCAAAATGTGCAAAAATACCAGCTTACTGTGTTAATTACACAGTAGAAATTTAGTGAAAAGTATAAAATGCAAAATCAGTTATTAATTACACATTACATCTAAATCATAATTTGAATCTTAAATCTTTTTACTTTTCATATTCTTAATACATTTTTCTCAAGTTTGATTTCTTGAAATATTTTCATTTATTCAGAGGAATGCACCTTAAAACCAAATATAAAATCAGTTCCTCATACTGAGTATTTAAGGCTTTAATTACATTCTTTACTAGAAAATATAGGCTTATTAGTTACCACTTTAATTTATTCAGTCATTTTAACTGCAGTAAAAATAATGCTGGTCAAATATTATACCTGGGTGTGTCTGTCTATAAGGTATAGAATTGCATTTATAATTTTCTCTTGACAGCAGTATATGTTTGTAGATCTCCTTAACTTCACAACCGTATTCTAATCAGATCCTTGAGAGAATAATTGATGCATTGTTCACTTGTATATGTTTGACACTTTTTTATTTGCAGTGTTAGTTTATGTTTCAGTCCCCCAAACATTAAGAGTTTATATATTAGGACTTGCTCTAGCTTTGCTACACCAGAGACAAGGCTATCAGTGATTGTGAAACAGATATGTAAGCTAATAAAGTTAATTGCCCGGTAGAAAAAAAATAATGTTGTTCAGTTATATAGAATGTTTTCTAACAAAATAATTATGTACTATTTTTACTATAAAAATGGATAGGTCTACAATGGGATACATTTCAACAAAATAATGATGAAAACAATTATAGAAATATATCATTTGAATATTCTTATGAAATATTTCTTATAAAAAATCAGATCATGTATCTCACATCATTAAAGACCCCATTCCTACCCTAAAACAATCTCTCTCTCTCTCACTCTTTTTTCCCCAATTTCAGAAAAAAAAAAATATTCCCAACAGCTGCAAAAAAAATCTAAAAAAATCAAACTGTCCAAACTTATGAGAAAATTTAGGTAAAATATGTTAAATCCCATCTGGAATATGCATTGCCCCATTGATAAAACAAATTCTGGATCTGCTCTTGTATGTGATTTGATAACGAATTATGCAGCACTGAGTGTATCAAACTACTTATACATGTATAAATACCTGATGCAGTACACTATAATTAGGGTAATAATGAATTATTTTTGTAAAATGAAATTTCATAATTTTATAAAAACATAAAGTACACAGTGTGTAAAACTATATCATTATCTATCATAATGAATAATACTGACCTAGAACTTAATGATGATAAGTTGGTCTGCATTGAACCGTCCCTTATTTATTACCCTGTTTACACTGAACAACGAAATCTTTTTAATGTTGAACTTTCCTTGTAAAAAAAGTTAATTGTTGAACTAAATTTTCTTGTAAAAATAAATAAGGGACGGTTCAATGCAGACAATTCTGTGAGTAATCGATAATTTCTTAATTTCACACCTTTAATGTCATAACTGGAGGATTAAAACAACAAAATACTGAACAGAAAACTTTCAATAAGTTTTTTAGAGGTGTTGCTGCTATCATTATCTCTTTCGTTCAATAATTTTAAACAAACATAAACAGGATACGATTAGGTTTTTGAAGCTTTTATCAGCGATGAAAACTGTGAAAATAATGAAAGGTTAATTGTTCGGTGTGCTTTGTAGTAAAATGGTGATTTAATTGAGTAAGTCGTGTCATTCTTTTAACAAGAATGTAAAAATATGTTGTGTTTATAGACATTCTCATTTAATTACATTTTGTACCTCTAAAGAAGTTTAAAAATTTTATAATGTTTAAAAAGGAAAATAAAATAAATGAAAATTAAAAAAATAATAGTGTATGCTTTAATCCTTCTCATTTGAAATAGGTTAGCTCAGAATTAAACATGTGTACAGTACATGGTATCCCTTAATATATTGCCTGGTTTTCTGTTTGACCAAACTCATTAATGAGACCAACCCGCTATTAAGACCAGATTTGTAAAGTCCCTTCATTGGTCTCATTAGCGAGTTTTTACCGTAGTTGAACTTTTCTTGTAAAAAAAAAAGTTAAATGTTGAATTTTTCTGGTAAAAAAATTTGTTCATCAAGTTTTTTTTACACTAATCTTAACACATTTTTGGTTATATCTTGGCAGTCGATCAGTCCACCTTACCATCTTTCCTCAGCATAACTAACCAGTAATAAGCAATTTCTCCACACAAGTGACATGATTTCTGAATAAAAGGTGAGAGACAAATGACCATTAGACTCAATGTTTGAGTTGTCATAGAGAAACAAAAATATTAGACTGCTGCGGCCCCTTGATTACAAATCTGATGCTCTTTCTATTGTCAGCAAAGCAGGTGGACAGTGTATGGCACATTCTTGATGTTTGTGAAATGTCTAAGCCGCGTCACGACAAAACCAACATAATGGGTTTGCGACCAGCATGGATCCAGACCAGCCTGCGCATCCGCACAGTCTGATCAGGATCCATGCTGTTCGCTATCAGTTTCTACTTGTATCTACTTGTTACAGGGTTGGTAAGTGAACAGCATAGATCCTGATCAGACTGCGCGGATGCCCAGGCTGGTCTGGATCCATGCTGGTCGCAAACACACTATGTTGGTTTTGTTGTGACACTGCTCAAATTACAGTACCATGTATAATAAATTATTTTCCTTTCTAATCGTGATGTATTTTCAGGATGTGGTCATCATATAGAGTTAGTTTTACGTGGAATTCCCGAGGAGGAGCGTTGTAAATGTTCCAGGGGGAAGTCAAAATGTGTCATATTATAGCTAGAATATACGTCCAGCTTTTAAAGGTAACAAATAATGGTGACAAAAATAATATTTTTTTAAAAAATATTCAACATAATTTAAATTATAACTCAATTCAAATGGGAGTTTTTATACTTTAGTGAACTTATTAATAAGGGGAAATAAAAACCCCAAATACAGGGCAACAAAGTTTTTTAAGGGGAAAGCCTTTAAAAAAACATTCCCTTTGGGTGGGAAAGCCCAAATCTTTTCACACGAAAAAAAATTTTTTACTTAAAGACTAAAAGGGACTTTTGTTTTTATTTAATTGATTACCTTCTCAGAGAAATTATATAAATAAATTCTTTAAAGCTGATTGGGGTGGGGTAGTAATCATAAATTAACCCGTTATGGGAATTTTTGGGAGCTTTATTTCATGTATTAGTCAAAAAAATAGTGAATTCCTAAATCTTCGAAACAAACTTTTTCCTTTCCGTAGATTACAATGTCATATCTTATGCGTGTACATTTAACAAATTTTTATGTAAGAATTGCAGTTCACAGTTATTTTGAAGTGCTAAATGTAAGTGGCAACATTTTGCTATCATGTCTACAGCTATTTGATATTTTTTGCACAAACTGATACCTAGAAATCAATATGCAGCTTACAGTTTCTATAGTGATGCCATTTCACAACAACATGTTAACATGGTTAAACAACAAATGTTGACAGTTATAGATAGTTATAAATATATATTATCATAAATGACTGATGCTAAGCAGCAAACATATTGTATGGTATTTATATATAGTCAAATAACATTCTCGAATTTAAGGTAGAGTGATTGAAGAAAGTTGATATCAATCCATCACCTTATAATGTTTCATTGATACTTACACTATCATTGTACATGTATGATATTATTCTTGTAGGAGGATAAATTTCCTATAATGCAGGAAATTGTGTTCAACTTAATATTTCCTATGGGGTTTTGCCATCTTCCATTAAAATCTTTGTTAAATGTCTTGTATCAATTATGAGGATAATCATAACAGTTATGATAAAGTTAGCTAACAGTTATGATAAATCCTGGTCAGACTGAAGTGACATACAGGCTGGCCTGGCTCCACACTTGTAGAAATTAAGACTTGATGTATTTAAAGAAATACTTATTAAGTTTATACAGAGTTTATTTTAGTTCAATTTTTATTAAGAAAACTGTATAAGGACTGCAGTTACATTATATTTTGTATCATTCTTTACATTTAGATTTTTGTTACTAAGGTTATTATGGTCCTAATATAAATGGTTGTTAATTTGCATATATTTTCTAAACCCAAAGTGAGGGTTATATTGCAAACATCAACATGTTTGTATTTTCATGAAATATTTGTTCTGTATATAAATAACAAATTGTTCAGATGGCACAGATGTGCAGGCTGATCTTGGTCTGCACTGGTTGCATGTGCAGATTCTGTACCCGTTAGCAGGGTAACAGTTAAGTTATAAGATATCAAATGATTCCAAATCATATCGTATTCAAGTGAAGAATAAATATCTTAGGACATATTCGTGTAATTGTAAAGTTACCATATTATTATTTTCATTTTATTGAAATTCAAGTTTGAGGATTAAATAGGAAGCTTGAGAGTTAGACAGAAATTATAGGTTGTAACCAGGTGAAAGGCAATATGGCGTATAAAGTCGAGTTTGACTATAAGATTGAAAGGTCTTTGATGTTTGTAAATCACTTTAAATTCTTCTTTATATTCAGTCTTACAGCTTATGTTACATATTATCCACACTGTAAATCAATTTTGAAGGTTTTTGAATTGAGTGAAGACCTCGAGGTTGCAGCTATGTACAATGAGTACCAGTCTGGTACCACTCGCAAGGTGAACATTAAGTTGCGATAACATCGTGTAATGATATCTTTGAGAATAATAGAAAGTTAATAAAATGTCTTGATAACCTCTAACATTTAATTACGTGCTATAAACGCCTTTCATGCATTTACGAAATTTGATTATTACCTCATGGATGCTGTTTCTGCATGAAGTGTAATTGTTTATCCACAGATTCAAAGGGTGTTTGTTGTTTGATGCAAATTTCATGAAATATGGGTTTCAGCATGCACTTATTATGCTAGTTTGGCGCATTACTAATTTTGAGATATTTTAGGCTTTTTTTTATTACAAAATGTAAAAATTTATAATATGTTGTAAGCTTAATTTGCCCCCAGGCATACGAGTTAAGGCACAAGCTGTTTTTTTAAATTGACAGTAAAGTTTTTATTTCAGTTTCTTACTACCATAACCAAAATCTTGTAAATGTCATATTAATTTTTTTTATGTATTTTGTGATGTTACAAAAAATAAGTTTTTATTATTACATATTTTTATAATCTTAACTAATGGATATTTATCTTGTACTGACAGCATTCATATAAATTGTCCCCTGACATAAACTCACTCAACCATTTCTGCAACAAAATCCTTCTATTTAATACTAATAGGATGATTTTAAGGTAAGGTTGAACATAGGTTTACAGTTTTCCATCTATTTTAAAGGGACTTTACAGTTTTCCATCTATTTTAAAGGGACTCACTCCACTGAGGTTATTTGATATGACAGGACTGGAAATAATTTTCGAGATTAATGTTCCATTAGATGTAGGTCCAGCTCAATTAAACTAAATGTATGCAAAATTTCAGATAATTCACTTACTCTTTTCCAAGAATAATTATTCAAACTGTGGAAAATAACCAAAAATTGATAAGCGTAATGCAATGCTTTTCTCTTAAAACAGGCTTGCACAAAATACGATTTTCAATTTATTTCTGAGCATATATTTCTGTTTTATTCCCTCAGCTGATCTATGTAAGAAATTCAAATTTTATGTTTTTAGGCTTTTGATCCTCTGTGGAGTTCTTTTAAGCACAATGTGATCATCTACATTAATTATTATTTATATTTCTGAGCATTTAAACTCAAATCATGCATTATTCTACAAGAACACACTCAAAATTGATGTCTATTTTTCAAAAAAATAAAGTTTTAAGTTGAGCCAATATTCTTACATTGTTTTTCTTTTTCAAGTGTTGAGCCTTAATTCATGTACTCAGGTGTCAGTCACTCATCTTTTACCACAGTTGACTTTGTCAATCTGCTTCAAATTTTGATATAATTGCTCATTTGTATGATTTCAATACTTAAATAATGCTGTGTTAACAGTTTACAAGTAGAGTTATCATAAAAGTACAGGTTGGTCTGGCTCAGTACAGGATTTCATTTAAGACAATATCCGAGTATCATCTTTTATTCAGAGAAATGAAGAATCTCATTCTCTTAAACCAACTGCTTCAAATTTAACCAGCTATTTCTTCATTTGTTATCACTTTATTTTGTTGTCATAGCAACTATATTTTTGTTGACATAGTAAAACTTAAGGTTAAATGAATTTAAATATGAATTGTGTTTGATCTTCTAAACATTTTCTTAACCCATCTACTAATATGACTGTAAGGTTTCAGAAAAATAACCTTCTAATATGTAATATACTAGTTGTCATACAACATAGTGTTCACACAAGTTTTTTTTTTTCCATAAATGATGTACCAAAACGACAAATGATATAAAAACATCCGCAAACTCCTCATTTCTCCATCTTTCTCTTTATTATTTTCTTTCAATTACATATATGTATTTGTAATTATTTATTCTTTCTTCGTTTTTTTTTTTTCTTTATAGGGTTTAATTAAAATTATGATAAGCCATGTATTATGTAAATATATTGCTTTTGTTAAAGGAGAGGACTACTATGAGCTATTGTAGCTCTCGGTCCAATTCCTTTCTGCTTAAATTGTAAATTATTAACATGTATATATTATCTGAATAAAAATATGTTTAAACCAAAAATAACCTTAAGATAAATGCTGCATGCATGCACACCATCAGGTCCTCTGCTATATACATGTATTATGGCCACATATTAAAAGATCTGAATTTTCTTTAATATTAAAAGCCCATCATGCCTCAGAAATGCTTTTTTATCTAATTATCTTTTCATTTTTGCTACTTTTATGACAAATTATCTCACATTTGTTGCTACTTTTTCAGGTTACACAAGCATCTAATTATTCTCTAAAACCAGTATTTAAACATTATAAAATTCTTGTTTGCCCTTTCTAAAGAATTGAAAATTTATTTTGTTTCTGAGGCAAGATGTGCCTTGTATACAATTAAATATCCCCATTATTTAGTCCATTTCTAACAGAACAAGGGATCATACTTTTGATATTTTTATACATTTTAAGTGACTCGTGACTGCTCAGGATTGTAAATGACCTTGACTAGTTATAAGTTTGTTTGTACAGTTCACAATTTTTTTACTATTTAAACATTATAAGTATAAAAAGTCATTGAACTTAAAATGAAACTCACAGGAGGTGTCACAGCTGCTCTAAAATATGATATTATTTGTCAATATTTATCCACTCTTCCTTAACAAATTTGAGCTTAAATTTGTGGCTCACTGTAAGTAAATTTACATCTTTTTACTGTTTAAAGCTAAATAGTTCAAATAACATTTCTTAAAGGCCCATTATGCCTCAGAAATACTTTTATTTTTAAGTCTCAAAAAGCTTTTTATTTTTGGTGTCAGGTAATAGTTTCCAAAAGGTGACGCTTAAGTCAATTTGCTTAGCCATCTTTTGCTTCTGTTGCTTTTTTGGCAATTATTACAGTACATAATAGTGAATGGAAGTCAAAATACTGCTTTGTTTACATTTGGTACTTTATGACAAATAATTTGACATTTCATCTCTACATTATTTAGCTGATAACCATCTACCCTCCACTTAAACCATTATTTTAAGTAATGTGAAGGAAAAAATTATCCATTTATATGAGTCTTAATGTGCCTTTAAAGATCTTCATGTATATTAATTGGAAATATTGTTTATCAAAATAGAGAAAAGTTTTTCTATCTTGGCTCAGTACACAGTACATACATAGTCAAGCTAGAAATGAACAATGCAGTGATTAGAGGTTAAAGACCTTAAAACAAAAAGCCTTTGAGGTTTTAATACTACATGTACATGTAAAACAATCATTATCTTAGCATTGAACAATCAGTTTTATGGTTGTGTACATGTCATTAAATGTTCAAATCAATAATTTTTAGGATGGAATCAAAATTGTACTTGACGCACTGTGTCTGAAAAGGAAGTCCTGAGGACCCTCGATAAACTTTTTAGATTATAGTTGACTATAACTAGCAGTAAAGTATTGTCATTTTATTGTGTCGCCTTGAAAAGGCGACATATAGGGGTTACTTTTGTCGGCGGCGTTGTCTGCGTCATTGTCGGTGTCGGCGTCCCCTACAGCTTGTCCGGAGCATAACTCAGTCACTATAAGTCTGATTGACTTCAAACTTGGTATGCATGCTTCTTTCAATAACTCGAAGTCCAGTGCACAAAAACTGGTACTCTGCAGTTCTTAATTTTTGAGTTATTGCCCTTTGTTAATTTTCATACTTTAATTTTGTCCGGGCCATTTCTCTTCAACTATGAAAGCTATGGACTTGACACTTCATAGGATGATAGATCTCATTAAGAAGAAGTGCAGTGCACAAGAACCGGTACTCTGCTGCACTTCCTATTTTTTGAGTTATTGCCCTTTGTTAATTTTCATACTTTATTTTTGTCCGGGCCATTTCTCCTAATGTATAAAAGCATGGACTTGAAACTTCATAGGATGATAGATCTCATTAAGAAGAAGTGCAGTGCACAAGAACCAGTACTCTGTATTTCTTATTTTTTGAGTTATTGCCCTTTGTTAATTTTCATACTTTATTTTTGTCATGGCCATTTCTCCTCAAGTATAAAAGCTATGGACTTGAAACTTCATAGGATGATAGATCTCATTAAGAAGAATTGAGTGCACATTTTAGAACTGGTACTCTGCATTTCTTATTTTTTGAGTTATTGCCCTTTGTTAATTTTCATACTTTATTTTTGTCCCGGTCATTTCTCCTCAAGTATGAAATCTATGGACATGAAGCTTCATAGGATAATAGATCTCATTAAGAAAAAGTGCAGTGTACAAGAACTGGTACTCTGCACTTCTTATTTGTGAGTTATTACCCTATATTAATTTTCATACTTTATTTTTGTCCGGGCTATTTCTCATAAATTATAAAAGATATGGACTTGAAACTTCATAGGATGATAGATCTTATTGATAAGAAGTGCAATGCACAGAAACTGCTGCTCTGCACTTATTATTTTTTGAGTAATTGCCCTTTGTTAGTTTTCATATTTCATTTTTGTCCTGGCCATTTCTCCTAAACTATATTGTTCACAAGGCGACACATACGACTCGTGGAGTTCTAGTTTAACAGTATAGATGTCATTAACAATTTTCTGTGTAAAGTTAACTTTTCATACCTTTTGCATGACATTTATTTTTAAACACTTAACTTGCTGGCAGACAAGTACGATCAGTACCAAAGATAATTTGTGCCATATCTGATCGTGGTCTACAATGTTTGCTATTCAGTCAGTAAATATTTCCCTGAATATCATGAATGGTTTTCTCCAGATTGAAAGATTGACAAGTCCATTTAAGATATTTAGGGTGGTAAGGGTTAACTGAGGCATAACATGCATAGTATTAACATGCTATTGATACATTCACTAAAATGTATGAATAAAAGATATTCTGTTTTTTCTATTTCAGTGATTTTAGAGATTTATAGAGCAGCTATTGATGAGATGTGATGAAATATTAGCTACCATGACAACTGTTCACAAGCATTATCTACAATGTTCATGTATATATTTCGTCTATTAAAGGGCCACTCATTTATGGAGCACCCATTTTATACATGTTTAAATCAATGGGACACTCATGTACATATATTGATTAAAGGGATACTCATGTACATTATAATTGTATTAATTAAAGGGACATTCATTTACAATTGCATTGATTAAATGGATGCTTATGTGCATAATTAAAGGGCAATTTAACTCATGTGCATGAATAATAATTGAAAGTGACACCCATTGATAGTCACAGGGTACCTCTCAGATATTTAAATATGTTAAGGGATAGTCCTTTTAATCTGATTTTTTTTCTGACTAACTCATTGATTTAGGATTAAAAAGCATTATATAATTGTACATCTAAGACTGTGTTTGTAAGAGTTGTTTTTATTCTAGAGGGAAAGAAAATTTTTTAAATCAATTAAAGTATGTGCAGTATGTTAAATATTGTTCAATCATTGTTTGTCTCTCTCAAAAATGTGTTGATAAATTTCAAGTTAAGGGGGGGGGATTAAGGATTCATTTGTTTCTTGTTGTTTTTTTTTTTAAGTAAAAATGAGCCACGTCATGACAAAACCAACATAGTGTGTTTGCGACCAGCATGGATCGAGACCAGCCTGCGCATCTGCACAGTCTGATCAGGATCCATGCTGTTCGCTTACCAACTCTATAACAAGTAGAGAAACGGATAGCAAACAGCATGGATCCTGATCAGACTGCGTGGATGCGCAGGCTGGTCTTGATCCATGCTGGTCGCAAACCCACTATGTTGGTTTTGTCATGACACGGCTCAAATGTACTTGTCTTGTAATTGAAAAATATTTTCAAATAAAATTCATTCAAATTTAACATTTATGCTGTGTAATTTTCATTTATTTTCTCATTATAATTATAAGCTTATAGACATTATTTTAGTATTGTTTTATAGTAAAACTGTTGCATTCAGAGTAAAATTATTGTGGGTTAACTCAGGGTAACAATTGCTTCAGATTTTCTGTCAACTTGGGCTTTGTTGAGTGCTATGGTTTCTTATGAATTAATCAGAATGAAAAATGATTTTTTCCCCCGTTTTTTTGTTGTTGTCATAAATAATTATGCATACAGTAACTGTTTTAAGTTGTACTGAAAAATACTCTCCCATACTGAACTTGGTTGACAAGGATATTAGTTTACTTAAGGGATTAATTTTGTAATCTATAAATAAATTTGGTGTGAAAAGTCTATTTCTAGAAACATGTTGTTGATTTTTAGAAAAAATTGTAAATTGAATATGTTTTTGTTCCATTTAATAACCTGTTAGGTATTTTTTGTATATAGGTATATAGAGCTTGTTCTTGATAGGTAGTTTATTTACGGTACCTATATAAACATTTATTTTTTCGCTATCAAAGTACAAAATTAAATTATTTACATCGAGTGTTCTGAAACTTGTTCTCCGGTCATAAAGCTATTCTATCATAATGTTAAGATATAGAAACTTTGAAAAACTAGAATTTTGACAATTTGATGGTAACTAGAACTTAAACAAGAACATCCATAAGTTCTAAATGGAACACTAGAAAATGGCCTCATGTCTAAATGTAACATATAGTTTGCATTATTATAAATATGAAGAATTTTTGTTTTATCAGATAATAAGTTGAAGATTTTAACTTGATAAATAAAGTCATTTATGTTACTTTTATTCAAAAATGTATCCAAAGAAAACTTAACTGTCAATCTATTCATGTCATACTATGTAAGTGGATATAATAAATTCCCCATGTTGAAAAGTAAGTGAATTTAAAATTCCAGACATTTCACATGAGGAAGTATAAGCGAATCATGCAAGGGTAGAATTCAATAACACAGATTGGCTGATAATAATTTTTACACTAGTGGAAATTTTAACGATTTTCGTCATTTCGCAAAATTCGCCAATATTTTTGCATCGCTAACTATACAACTTATACTGTACAAGGGAAAACAATGTTTATGTAAAACACAAAGCTTTCTTGTTAATTTCTTAATATAAATAGCTTATGTCTTGAAGTATCTAAATATAATGTACCCTGGTTTTTCAGCCTGAAATACTACTATTATTAAAATGTCTTTATAATACTGGTGTACATAATTATGTCTAAAATGTCAATGTTTGTGAAAATGGTGCAATTTTTTTATATTTTAAGATCATACATGGTGTAGTGAAGAAATATTACTTAAGTGTGAAATATAAAATCATTCAAGTTTTTAATGTGATGTTAATACATTGTACTTAAATGTGTAAAATAAGTGCATACAGATTTTTGTGTCGCCTGCTACAGAGTAGCAGTAGTACTGGTGACATATAGGGATCACTTTTTATATGCCCGAAAGAATTTCGGACATATTATGTTATACCCCCTGGCGTCCGTCCATCCGTCTGTACGTTCGTTAGCAATTTGGTTTCCGGAGCATAACTTAAGTTCCATTTGGCCCACAATATTCAAACTTCATAGGATGATTGTCCATATTGGGTAGAAGACCCCTATTGATTTTGGGGTCATAAGGTCAAAGGTCAAGGTCACTATGACCTTAAAACTGAAAACAGTTTCCGGAGCATAACTTAGTTTCCGGAGCATAACTTAAGTTCCATTTGGCCTACAGTGTTCAAACTTCATAAGATGATTGTCCATATTGGGTAGAAGACCCCTATTGATTTTGGGGTCACAAGGTCAAAGGTCAAGGTCACTATGACCTTAAAACTGAAAAACAGTTTCCGGAGCATAACTTGAGTTCCATTTGGCCCACAGTGTTCAAACTTCATAGGATGATTGTCCATATTGGGTAGAAGACCCCTATTGATTTTGGGGTCACAATGTCAAAGGTCAAGATCACTATTACCTTAGAACTGAAAACAGTTTCCGGAGCATAACTTAAGTTCAATTTGGCCCACAGTGTTCAAACTTCATAGGATGATTGTCCATATTGGGTAGAAGACCCCTATTGATTTTGGGGTCACAAGGTCAAGGTCACTATTACTTAGAAATTGAAAACAGATTCTGAGCATAACTTAAGTTCCATTTGGCCCACAATATTCAAACTTCATAGGATGATTGTCCATATTGGGTAGAAGACCCCTATTGATTTTGGGGTCACAAGGTCAAGGTCACTATTACCTTAAAACTGAAAACAGTTTTTGGAACATAACTTAAGTATCATTTGCCTACTGTGTTTAAACTTCATAGTATGATTGTCCATATTGGGTAGAAGACCCCTAATGATTTTGGGGTCACAAGGCCAAGGTCACTTTTACCTTAGAATTGAAAACAGTTTCTGGGGCATAACTTAAAGTTCCATTTGGACCACAATATTGAAACTTCAAAGGAGGATTGTTATTTGAAGGAGGTAATACTTTATTTTACTCCCATGTTTTACAAATGCTTCATCTTTACTAAAAAAAAAAAAATCACTTTCGGGCATATAATGCTCTGCCTAGCGGTGCTCTTGTTCATCATCTGACCATCACAAAACTTGATTTTTAGATTGTCAGATTTATTAATAATTTTAATTTTTAAAGTTTTATTCAGACTACTTCTCTTGTACTACATGCACTTATGCAATTTAAATGAAACTTTACAGGATTGATAGATACATCAAGTACTTGTGCATAATTAATGGGTTTTCTGCTTGAATGCTTTTTTGCCTGAGTAATGGCCCTTGAATAAAAAATGCATTTTGGCGTATTAATTATATTTGTATGTCCTGCTCCATTATCGAGTAACTACAACATGCTATAAAGTAGCCGCGACATAATTAAGGGAACAAACTGGTCAATCTGAATCACCACTCAATACAACTGATAAATTGGCTACATCAGGGGACACACGTGATCACTGGTCGCTCTTGTTTATTGTAGCAGAATGTCCAAATGGTTAACGCATCATATTACATTGTAGTAATCTGAGGATCACAAGCTGTGTGGGATCAAACCCCATCAGGACAAAATGTTGTTTCCTTGAGCAATAAACTGTTCACTAATTATGGTTCCAGAAACAACTTTGAGAGTGTATTAAAAATTTTAGAGAATTATAGCTTTCTACACAATCAAACTAAAATAGATTCTGCATAAACTACATGTAAATATTGTTTTAATTTAAAACATTTAACAGAAAAATGGAGCAAAAACATAACAATAATGCAACTATTGTTAATCACTTAAAAGACAGATCATAATGTATTTTTCATCGAGTATAGCTCTATTTAAGATAAATTCTTGACCATCTTGGATTAAACACTAGGAACATGGACCAAAGCATCATTGAACAACAAGAAAAAAGTTACTTACTTATTAGATACTATTTTCCATCTTCTGGTATGTTTAACAATTTGAGTAACTCATTTGTTTCATTAATAAATCGTTTTGTGTTCATATTGGAAATTGTGATGTATTGAACAGTCTTTTGATGCAACTAATTTTACTTGATTTTATTAAGTTTATGTTCTTATTTTTATGAATATATAATTATCATGGTACATGTAAGAATTACTTTGTCAATGTTACTCTTTTACATTCCAACTAAATAAAGTTTCATGGTCTGTTGTTTTTTTAAAGTATATAATATGTTATTGTTACTCATTTATGAGTTAAAAATGAAATGATTTTTCGAGGCAGGAATGGAATTTTGAATTTTAATTTTTGCCAGATATATTTGTTGTTATTAGTATGCGTAGTGTTTAAAAGACTAAAAACATTGTGATATACACATATGATAGAAAACGTAATAGAATAATTTAGCAATAAGATAATTTGAGTCACGTCACAACAAAACCAACATAATGGGTTTGCGACCAGCATGGATCTAGACCAGTCTGCGCATCCCCTTAGTCTGATCAGGATCCATGCTGATCGCTATTGAGTTTCTCTACTTTGTTATAGGGTTTGTAAGCGAACATCATGGATCCTGATCAGACTAAGCGGATGCGCAGGCTGGTCTGGATCCATGCTGGTCGCAAACGCACTATGTTGGTTTTGTCATGATGCGGCTCTTTTTAAACTGGATAAGTGTTGTCTAAAGGTTTAGATATAACTAGTGTTTAACGAGAACATTTTAATATGTCAACCTTTTCTTTATTTTATCTTTTATTATGAATGATTTAAATTTTCTGTAGCCGACAACAAACTTATCAGTTGTTTATTGAATGATAAAAATAGGATACATGTATCTTGATCCAGTACTTTTATCTGACAAAAGTGGATTTGCTTGGCCTTGATTGCATGAAGTGCTTGAGTGTGATAAGTTTTTTTTGTAAAATCCAAGGGAGTCAATACATGAACTAAATCAAGGGCATTTTATTTTATATTTCTTGGTATTAATAATATTATATTGAACAAAGGTAATGTACACTAAGGCCGCATTAAGCAAGCAAAATCATTCCAGGCCACACTGATTTTCTTTCAGCCTGGTCACTATCTGTTCATGTGACATGAAGTAAATAATCTTAGCAAATATACTTAGTAGATCTATATACATGTAATAAAGGAACACATCAAGTTATCATTCTACATCATAGGATACAGAATGGTGTTAAACAATTATAATTGTCATAGTAATTCTACTATTGTTTTGTGATTTCACAAGGCATACAACATTACTATGTGTATGTTAAGGTAACTTCCTCTCAAAGTTTGTTGTTTGTACATTTTTTAAAAAATTTCCGAGATTGCATTTTTAGCAACTTTCAAAAACTAGTCCTGTCCGCTGATTATGTAATAACAAATTTATTATTATAGTATTCTGTTACTTTTATATACAGATGTCTGCAGAATAGCACCTTTTATTGACCAACATTTTATGTACTCATTAACATTACTGGTCAATAACAAATTTATAGGTGTAAAGCCCTGCACTATAATCTGTATAAAGGCTGATTAACAAGCATAGCAAAACAGTACATTAATAACAATGACTCTATGATTATTTTAAGACAATTTAACCAATTTATTGACCAGCATTTTTTCACTCTTTAATCTGTTATAGCATGGTACCAGGCTTAATTAGTACATTCTTGTTCAATAATTCTTTTAATACTGTCATAATTAATTGTTGTGCTTATAAATAAAAGCTTACATTTCTTTATTTTTTAAAAAAAATTACATTTTTGTTACATTTATTCTGCTTTTTAATATTACTGCTGCTTTGGTTTATCAATAGCAAAACATATTTTTTTTATATTAAAACATAATTATTACTTTTGTTTACAGTTAAAGGCGATACAATTAAACGACTAGTTGATTCTGGATGTAAAATTTAATTTAAAACACTTTAATCTTAAAAGTGTTCCAAGTTAATTTAACTCTATTTTTCTGTTCTGAGATATTGGAATCATGGTTATTCCAAAAAGTAAGCTTTTAGCCAACCTTGAGCTGTTTTTTACTTCAAATTTACATTTCATTATACATATAATCATGGAATTAGACATTTGAAATACTATTCCTGTATAGAACAACCTATTTAAGCCCATCCATGGGTGTGAATAACTAGACATGAAAAGTTTTATCATATAAACAATAAGGTTTATCAAAATTTTATCTTATCTTAACATATTTTAGTAATCTATTAAAAGCAATATTTTTCCCACATTTAAAGTTAAGATTTGTCCATTGGTTTAAGTTGCAGATGTACATGCATTTATAAACTTATCACAGTTTAAAATATTCAACTATGTGCCCATTTGTAAAACAAGTTGGTAAATATTTCAAGTAAATCGTGTAGGTTACAATTGCCAGATATAGTGTTTGGAACTGTATTTGAAATGTCAGAAAAATTCATTTTTTCGTGTAATGTTTACATTGTGATTCAGAATCTCGTGTTTAAATGTTGTGTATGTAACATCAGATAAGTGTATGTGTGTATGATATTGTATATTGAAAGTCAAACTTTGTTAAGTATAGTGCTTTAAAAGTGCTCCTATAATATTGTTTAGTTATAAAATATTGATGCTACAAGTGTTTGTAATTAAAATAAAGTAAAAAACAAATGCTGTCTTTTTTCTTATTTTGCCCCCGTGACTGAGGGGTTGCGTGTAAAGGTTGTTTGTTTGTCTGACTTACGTCACACCTACATCTAGGTCATATGTCTACCTTCCAGCTTTACTGGTGAAGGAAGACATCAGATGTCCTTCCATCCATTATTTCAGGTACAAAGGCACACCTGAGTTATGAAACACCATCGTTCTGTAAGCTAGCTGGATAACTTCCTCACATGAAAGAATCCGAAGTCTGTATTCGAACCCACATGGTTGAGGCATAATCACTGCAGCCGTTTATCCCTGTGTGATCACAAGAGGTTACTAAATGGAATTACTTGAGTGCATGCATCTTTTAGCTCCCGCAGGTGATCTGGTTTTGCTTTGAAGTTAGTAACTTCCAAGGTTAGCCAAAATCATCTTTCTTTTCTTGGTGTCATATGATCTATACTGTGTTTGTGCACCGTAACACCAAACGAAAAGACGATTTCCTTAATTCTACAACCCTTTCCACAGAAACTTAACTTAAATAGACTGAACCATCTTTCAATCAGGACAAAACCATTCATCATTTTAGGAAAATTTCAAAATATGTACATGTATTGATAAAATAGCAAACACAGTGCAGACCATCATCAGATGGCATGCATGTGCTTACTGATTTTGTTTGCCGCTGGTTGCATGGGTAAAATCTGTAGTTGCTAGCAAACTTAACACATTAAAGACTAGAGTCAGTAATCCCCCATCTCTCTGCTTGAAAGAACATACAGTATAGACTTTATTTTGATGGCTGCCACTCAGTATGTTATCCTATGAGGTATTAAAACTATAAATGTGATGATATAGTTCAACGAGATAAACAAACATTATATAAGGTGTCTACCTTATTTTTAAATGATATTAAAGTCTTTGATTTGGGGCAACTTGATTGAATCTAAACATGCATTCCTTGGATACTTATGCCCCAGCTCATACACAATGACTATTTCAAAGAATTGAAGTGTTGTTTTAATATATTATATCACAAATAAAGACTGATGAAACATTTCTTTTTGATTTTACAAGATTTTCATGTATTATTGACCTTGACCTTTTGACCTTCAAATTCATAAGGTCATCCACTTGCTGTAAAATCTTTAAGAGTTGTAGGCGACTTGGATCTAGTTATTGTTTCTTAGAGCACTAACATAATCTTCTAAATTTAACAGCAGTTATTCAATTATTGCACTTACGTGACATGATGTCTGTATTGACATGATATAAATGAAGTAGACACAAACTTTTTGAGTTACAGTTTACAACTATCAACATTCTTTCCAGGAAGGGTCTAAAGCCATTGTTTAATCACAAATATATTGTGTATAAATTGAATAAAGTTTAATTTTATTTAAATCATGACAAATTTACATGTATATGTTATTTACCGATTATGATCTAAGAGAGGTAACTCTTTATTTTTACAAGCACTATCTTATTCCCTATAGGATTATTTCCCATTCCAAATAAAAGCCAATATTCCACTGGATTTTATCTGTTTAAAGTTAATTTATAAATGCTGTTATGGCAAATATCAGATTAAAACCAAACAAATATATAAAGTTTCGCAACAATGACATTGCAATATGAAAATAATTAAAGTGAGATCGCCTTAATCTTTATATAATTCAATATTGATGTTACACGGCGTAAAAAAACATTCAATTTTATACTAAACAATGTAGATAGCATCAAAACTGAAATTTAGTGAGATCACTTCAATGTTTTATATAATTCCATTCTAATATTAAATAATAAATCTGACAAAATAATAAAAAAGTTTGTTTTTTTTACTTGAAATTACTTGATGTAAAAGTGTATTAAAGTCACATTCAGCACATAAATACATGATCACCGAGTGATATGACAGCCACAAATGTTGTAAAGCAGTGTTTTATACAGGGATATAAAATATTGGTCTGCAGGTCTAGTGGTTATCTCACATTATTATCAAATGCTCTCAGAATTAAATACAACAACGTGACATTAGAAATATGAAATCTTGATGGCAGTAATGATGAGGGGGACTTTTTACATTGGAAAGATTGATTTGGCAAATCAATGTAAATGCTGTTGTTTTTTTGTTTCTGTTTTGTTTTAGTAATTATGTAACAATGTTATTTATTCTATTCTTTGCAATTATATAACACACATTTTTGAGTGAATGAATGATCTGAATTTTTGCACACAAGTTTTAGTCTAGACCTACATCAAATGGAACATTAATCCAGAAAAATTATTTATAGTCCCATCATGTTTAAAAACCTCAGTGGACTCCCTTTAAGGGAAATGTGCACGTTTATATCTCTGCATGTGACCTTAAAGCAAATAACCTAGATTAAAAGAACTATGTTTTACATTATAAACATTCATAACTTGATGGGGCAGTTTTTGTAAGCTGTACATCATGACTACTTTATGTTAGCCTTAAAAATTATTATAAAGAATCAGCACATTATCTTTACACGTTGTTTTGTTTTTCTCAAAATGAAATACATTTTTTACAATGCAAGAAAGAAATGTATAAAGTCAGCATGAGGAAAATCAGTTTTATTTTGTTAAAGTAAAAATTCATTGTTACCAAGTTTTGAATTTATCAATTTAAGAAATTTGTGCTCTTAATAATAAGCAAATTATCATATCTGTCAAAGTTTGTATTTTCCATTACCAATAACTTAATTTGAGCCGCATCATGACAAAACCAACATAATGGGTTTGCGACCAGCTGGGATCCAGACCAGCCTATGCATCCGCTCAGTCTAATCAGGATCCATGCTGTTCGCTTACAAAACCTATAGCAAGTAGAGAAACTGATAGAGAACAGCATGGATCCTGATCAGACTGCGCGGATGCGCAGGCTGGTCTGGATCCATGCTGGCCGCAAACCCATTATGTTGGTTTTGTCGTGACGCAGCTCATTTTTTATTTATTTTTGCAAATAAAGGCAAACACCAAAACTGACTTGTCGAGCAACATAGGAATTTATAGTATGTTTTACTTTGTTCATGATGATACACATTTTCATTGGCTTTTTTTATTACATTTTTGCCAATCACTTTATAGTCAAAGTTCACAATTGGCATCAGTTATCTTCTCTATTGCTGTCTGGACTTGGTGGAATCTGAAACTTATCTCCCTTTTTCCCTTTCGCAGCAAATATATCTCTGTTGACATTTTTGTCGAAGGGTTCAACTGTTCGCATCAGGACGTAAATACCTCCAGCTAGGCCTCCAATATTTACTCCTAGAGTCTTCGTCCTCTTCCAATACTTTCCAATATACAATAATGTCTGGAAAAAAAATATATATCAAAATGGTTGCCAAGCAACAGCTTAAATCAAAGATAAAAGCCTTTTTATTTTTAAGATTTGTAATTCCACAATTATCAAGAGCTCAAAATATAAGGAAATAAATGTAAAGTTAAATTGGAAGTGTTCAAATAAGTGGAAAAATAAATAAAACAAATGGAAATACCAGACTGAAATATTGATTTTAGAGACAGTAGGAAATGTTTTGTACTGCTTTTCTGTGCAAATTGTGATCTGTAACAGACAGGGTACTTTTAAATAATTTTCTTAATATCTACCTAACATCAAGTCTTATTCAAATCAACATTTGATTTATTGTTTGATATGTCCTTTTAATTACAAGAAATGTTTCCTATACACTGTTTCCTGAAGCACTCTATCTATGGAATGAAAGTGGTGTATAAAGTAACAGCATTTTATAAATCAATATTGAAATTGTACTTAAAAAGAAAAAAATATATTAACATTAACCCCTAAAGACCATCAAAATAATGATTTTACTTTTGTTCACATATTCAAACTGTAATTCTAGTTTCACCTAAAACACTATTTTACTGGGGTACTTGGTAAATAACAAAGATCGTTTTTAAGTACCGGTAACATCAGTTTTGATGTCATCCCGGTCATATACAAATATCTGTAGGATGTTAACCATATCTAATAAGATACTGAAAAGTACTAATCTGTTTCTCTACAAGTACTTGCCAACTTCTCCACATAAACCATGTGAAAAGTAAGACATATCTTCATCAACCAGATCACAACATAGTCTAAAAAAATTTTGATGTCTTATACAAACTTATAATACTTAAAACCTAAAACAATTCTGTCTTATACAAGGACCAGAACTTGAAGCGGTTGTTCAAGCTGGCGGCCAAGTCATGAAAAATTATAATGCTCCCCTATATTTTGTCCAGGCAAATAGGGTTTGTATGTAATTTTGAAATTTTTGAATATGCCCATTCATTAAGGTGATGATTATGACACATGCACTTGAACCAAGTATGTAAACACATCAAGTCTTGTCCCATGTTAAAACTCCTACTTCTAGTTTGTCTGACATCAGGGATTTTTCTCTTTTAATTGGGAAGAGGCCTTAGTCCCGTGATTATGGTAAGAATTATTTCTTAAATTGCTGATTAAGGAATGTAAAAAGCTAGTGTATGTTTTGATATTTGGGAAAACTTCATAATTTTAAAGAAAATTTCTATTAGAAAGTAGCCTTTTATAATACAGTTTGTATAATCATTTCCGCTAATAAATTGTTTAAAATAAACTTCCTTTTAAATCACTATTTTCATTACGTTTTAAAGAACCTAGAAAGAGGTTCATCATGAAACCTCTGGTTTTTTTTAAATATCACAACCTCTGTTTTTTATATCATAACAGAGCTATCAATGAGCACTAAGCATTGACCGCATTATTAAACTAAACAAGACACTGTTACATGATAACTGACCTTCACCATGCATTTTTTATCCTCTGTCAGGAGGCAACATCGACCCCCAGGTTTGACAACTCTTGCCATCTCAAACAAAGCTCCAGGATATAGAGTCCAGTTATTGACCTTGCTACCCATTCTTACACCAAAGGGCTGAAATGTGAAAATAGATGGTAATCCTATATTTAGTTTAGTTTAGCTTATACAAATTTATTTTAGTTTGATTATGTTGGAAGCTATAATCTTACTGAAACACTCTCAAATTCCTTCCTGGAACCAACAAGTACTAAGCAAAGAATGTTTTTTGTTTGGTTTTTTTTTGGGGGGGGGGGGGTTATGTCACATCGACACAGTATAGGTCATTTTGCAATGTTCCAGCTTTATTGGTGGAGGAAGACCTCAGGTGCCCTTCCGTGCATTATTTCAGGCACAAACGGGCATCCGAGTAGAACCACAAACGTTCCGTAAGCTAGCTGGATAGCTTCCTCACATGAAAGAATCCAAAGTCCCTGTCCGGATTCGAACCCACAGCGGTGAGGGGCAAGTGGTTTGAAGTCAACAACCTTAACCACTCGGCCACAGACGCCCCTAGCAATGAATGTAAATTTCTTGTTATCAGTATGTAATGATAGTTAGAGATATGCAGCATTAATAGCATTAAAATCATTACCTTAAGCCAAATTGTTATGAAAAACTATGGGAAATGTAAAACATTAAAGCTAGCATACATTGAAACCTGTCAAAGCTGCAGGAGATCAGTCTTAAAGGAAACAAAATTAAGCCTTTGCTTCCTTTGCTACATCAAAGAGAAAGTTTTGCACTGTTTACTAAAATTCAAACACTCTTTAAAACAGTTACTCATTAATTACTATTTAATAAGATATAGTTCAATAATATTTTATTGTATATTTGTGATATACCCATTTAAAGTTGGACCAACAGTTATACAATGTACAAGCATTATAATAGTCCTTTCCTTGAGGTGGCATATACACTATATATTTTTCTGCTTTTTCATTTTACAGTTTTCAATGGAGATATTCCAAAATCACATTAATATTAAATTATCTGAAAGACTTAAGGAAGTACAAAATTTTATATAAGCCATTTTTATAGTGACCATTTTCAAAATGATTTTATATACCACTAGATTTGGTACATTAAACAAATTTATAATTTACAAAACAGCACATGTTAAGCGGGTTTGTTAATTGACATATTTTTCAATTTGGAACAAAAGTACTACTCATATATTCTTTAAAACTTTAAAGTTTTTACATATCTTATTGTAGCAATAAGAGGAATCTGAACATTAAATTTCAAATGATATAAACAGGGGAGACAATTTTAGGCACTCCAAGTCCAAATAGTATATATTCTATACCTCATCATATATACCAGTCTGCTCAATATAATTCAGAAAACTTAATGCATTTTGAGAATACATTTATCATACACTTACAAGATCAGTTACAAATGCATCTACAGACTGATCCCTCATTGGTAGATTACAAACATCCCATCTTACAGCATCCAGTAACATTGATGACCTGTCAGTGAAGAGAAATTTTATTTCTATATAACTGTAACAATATATTCATATAAAAACAACAACAACATTTTCAGCTAGTGTAAACAATAAACCCAAGTATTTTACCATTGACCTGTTATATTTGTGTAATGCATTTGCCCATCTCTGAGTCTCAGACAGTCCATTAAATGTTTAAAAGGTATATATAAAGCTTTATCACATAAACCGCGGCGCAGGAGTGTAATAAAGCCATTTAATAACAAGAGCTGTCACAGGAGACAGCGAAGCTCGACTAATAAAATACTGGACGCAGTAAGGACAAAACTATGAAAGAAAAATCAATTATGTATAATTACGTATTAAGTTATAGTAAAAAAATAGCATTTGTTAACATTAATTCCAAGATCAAGGGGAATAATTATAGAAATAGTCATGCTAGAGTTATGGATCTTGCCACACAACATTTGTGTAATGATAAGAAATATATATTTGAAGTTTGAAGTAGATACCTTAAAAAGTAAAGAAGTTATTATATTTCTTAAAGAAAATCCTAAGTTCAAAGAGAGATAAATCTGTAAATATTGCTTCAAGAGTTATGAACATTGTCACATAAAATGTAATTAATGATAAGGTATAAGTATTTGAAGTTTGAGGTAGATACCTTTAAAAATAAAAAAGTTAAAATAAAAAATAACATTTTTCTAGTAAATAAATCTAAGTTTATGGGGAGATAATTCTTGCAATATTGGTGCTAGAGTTATGAACCTTGTCACATAAGATGTGGATGATGATTACGTAAATATATTTGAAGTATGAAGTTGATCCCTTTAGAAATAAATAAGTTACAGTAAAAAATAATATTTTTTGAGGAAAATTCTAAGTTAAAAGGGAGATAAATCTGAAAATATTGGTGCTAGAGTTATGAACCTTGTCACATAAGATGGGGATGATGATAACGTAAATATATTTGAAGTATGAGGTCGATCCCTTAAGAAATAAAGAAGAAACAGTAAGAAATAGTATTTTTTGAGGAAAATTCTAAGTTCAAGGGGAGATAAATCTGAAAATATTGGTGCTAGAGTTATGAACCTTGTCACATAAGATGGGGATGATGATAAGGTATATATATTTTAGGGCTGGGTATTGATCAGAAATTTTCGATACGATACGTATTGCGATACAGACCAACGATACACAATACGTATTGACGATACAGTACAATGATGCTTCATTGTTAGGATGTACTTATTAAAAGTACTATTTACATTTCATAGATTCCCTGGTGAAATTATTGAATCTTTCTTATTTCTGTTTTAGATTTTGACTTTGTTAATGATGATATATAATACAGAGCCGGTGCATAGGTACCTTAATTAGTACATTTGAGATAATATTTTGAAAATGACATGATGGCCCCTTTTTTTATCCCCCGCCGAAAATTTTCGGCGGAGGATATAGAAATAGTCTCCGTCCGTCCGACCTTCCGTCCTTCCGTCCGTCCTTCCGTCCGACATTTTTGTCCGGAGCATATCTCTAAAAGTATTTGAGTTATCAACTTGAAACTTCATAGGTGGATAGAACTCATTGAGGAGGAGTGCAGTGCACAAGAATGATAACTCTACCTTGCATGATTTTTGAGTTATTGCCCTTTGTTATTTTTCAAAATTGATTTTTGTCCAGAGCATAACTCCAAAAGCCTATGAGATATTAACATGAAACTTCATAGGTGCATAGATCTCACTCAGGAGGTGTGCAGTGCACAAGAATGATAACTCTACCTTTCATAATTTTTGAGTTATTGCCCTTTGTTATTTTTCATACCTTATTTTTCACCTGAGTGGAGCATAACTCAAAAAGTGTTTGAGATATCAACATGAAATGTCATAGGTGGATAGATCTTATTGAGGAGGAATGTTGTGCGCAAGAATGATAACTCTTCCCTATACAATTTTTGAGTTATTGCCCTTTGTTTTTTTTTTCATGCTATTTTGTCCAGAGCTTATCTCAAAAAGTATTTGAGGTATCAACTTGAAACTTCAATGGTGGATGGATCTCATTGAGGAGGAGTGCAGTGCTTAAGAATGATAAATCTACCCTGCATTATTTTTGAGTTATTGCCCTTTGTTATTTTTCAAAAATTAATTTTTGTCCAGAGCATAACTCAAAAGGCCTTTGAGATATTAAAATGAAACTTCATAGGTGCATAGATCTCACTCAGGAGGTGTGCACTGTACAAGAATGATAACTCTACCTTTTATAATTTTTGAGTTATTGCCCTTTGTTCTTTTTCATACTTAATTTTTCAATTCAATTTTTTTCTCAAAAAGTATTTGAGGTATCAACTTGAAACTTCATAGGTGAATAGATTTTACTGAGGAGGGATGCAGCACACAAGAATGATGACCTACCCTGCATTATTTTTCAGTAATTGCCCTTTGTTATTTTCAGCATAGGTTTCAAATCTGTAATCACTATAGCCATCAGTTTTCATTACCAAAAGACCTCTTAAAATGGAATTATTCTGCTCTACTACATATACATTCTTCCAATGAGCAAACACATTCGGCGGGGGATGGCCATGTTGACATGGCTCTTGTTAGAATTTTATATAACAATTATTTTGAAAAAAAAAGCTTTGTAGAGAAATAATTCAATGCAAAAATATAATTATGTAAATACTAGGAAAAGTTAACACAGAAAATAATTAAAACATCAATATTTTTTATGACAGGAGTCTAGTACTGTCTACAAGTCAACTGTTCTAAATTATAAGATCTTTATAATAAAATCAAATTTTTGTAGAATTTGAAATATATACGCTGAGAAAGTATTGGAACATTGAAAATTTTTCTAACAAATCATGTTTTTTCTATCTTAAACGGTAAAATTACAATAAAAATATAAATATAGGAATGATGTTGCGGTGTCGTAATCCGTAACGTACCGGGAAACGATGTTTTATAGCTACGTCTTCGCGCAGTCACATTTATTTAGTTAGCAAACTACATCTTGGAAAATCAATAAATTTGTAGGATTTATGTGTTAACAAGATGTGTTTGATTAAATTACAAGTAAATGTTTGGTCTAATACATACTTCTGCCGACCTGAAATTATTTTTTACCAGTGTAAGAAATATGAGATTGAATGGCCAGATAAATTTTGTCACGGATTTATCCGTCATTTTGTGTATTGACACATTCTTTGTTCCACCTGAACTAATCAATGCAGCCTTTCAGATATTGCTGAGGGCCTTCTTAACATTTACTTTAGAGAAAATTCCACACTTTTGACGTTTGTGCTGACATTTTAAAGACGATAATTTTAATGTAAAGCCATCATGTTTATAAGTTACAGAATTATTAGGTTGTCTCCCTTTGTATCGGTATAGCTAAAACCCGATAACCGTACCGTATTGAAAAACGGAAAATCGATAAATACCGATTTACCGGTATATTGATCCAGCCCTAATATATTTGAAGTATTAGGTTGATCCCTTAAGAAATAAAGAAGTATCAGTAAAAAATAGTATTTTTTAAGGAAAATTCTAAGTTCAAGGGGAGATAAATCTGAAAATATTGGTGCTAGAGTTATGAACCTTGTCACATAAGATGTGGTTGATGATAAGGAACATATCATTGAAGTTTGAAGTTGATACCTTAAGAAATGACAAAGTTATAGTGAAAAATATTTTACTGCACCAAAACTTTAATCTAAAATCTGGACGCGGACGCCGACGCCGGGGCGAGTAGGAAAGCTCTCCATATACTTCGTATAGTCGAGCTAAAAATGATATTACACTAGTGTAATAACACTTTGACGTCACGTCATTTGCGCTATATAGAAACATAGCGTTAAAGCGCTTATGTTAGCGTTACACTATAGGCGCGTCAATGAAAAATGACTCATTTTAACAGTTTATCGTTCTTATTCTATATATGTGATAAAAAGAATATTATATTCGTGTAGATTCAATACTAAATTTATTGAACTTGTTGAATAAAACAATATTATGCTCGCCCTGTCTCCAATTTGGTTATATAACATGTTTCCCATTTCTAATAGTAAAATCATGGGCAAGTCCTACTTGTAATTGGAAACTATCCATTGTTAATGAACTATCCATTGTTAATGTCTTTTGATAAAAGCATTATGCAGTCAAGAGTTAAGAACTTGGTTGGACCCACATTTGCATTCCAGCCTACTTTTACATGTATAATGGTCGCATAGCCAAGTCGATTTTTAGTGACTTAATTCATTAAAAAAGTTCAAAAAACTACACCAGAAAGGTTCATGGACTATGATCTAAGACTTTAGACATTTCTATACTGTTTTCAAAGTTATAGTATTATATTAATCTTAATCAAAACGTTAATATTTATGGGACTCCATTGATGTCTTTTGACATGTAGGGGGCTTAAAATATTTTTCCAACATATTTGTACCATTTGATGCATGTTTGACCTCAACCTGTTTTTCCAGGATAATTATTTTTATTGTGCAAAATGACACAAAAATGAAAAGCTAAAGCTTTGCAACACTTTTCACTTAAATCAAGCTAAGATTTATTGCACTTACTACCAATTTTCAATCTAATTCTGAGTTTATTTCTTTATCATCCTTTGCAGATTTTTCCATTTCAAGTACTTACCTTGATCTTTGAAATAAAATAAAATTTTATGTTTTGTTTTTTTTTTGGCTTTTTAACGTCAATGGAGTTCCTTTAAAACTTTTCAATATTATTATCTGGGAAAGGAGACCCCTCTATAACAATGAAAACAACAATATAATATGAAAATATTGCAGACTTTATTTGAGACTTTTATTTGTCTGTTCATGAGAGATAATATAAAAGTGCAACATCCTAACATTTATCATTCCAATGCGAGGCATTTTTTTTTAAAGTTTACATTATCAATGTATCTATTTCTGTAGGAATATTCCTCCAATTTACATGCATTTGTTAACACTTTATCTTGTAGTGCATAATCCATGTCTGAGCCTAACTGGTACAGTGTCAGTATTCATTACTCAATTTATACACTGAATGCATGAATTACACTCTAAAAGCCAGGGAAACAAATGAAATTAGTAACAGGCTCGTCAAAAGTCTCTAAAAATATATCTGAAGACTTTCTCCCATTTTACCCAGTTACATAATATACTTTATTTTCTTCCACAATTCTTTCCAAATGGAAATGATGGTGAACTAGACATTCCTTCATCCCACTGGGCTCATATCTTTTAATGTTCAAGACCAAAATCTAGAAATTTTGGACTTTCCAACGCTATTTATTATGTAGCACAAATGTAATACAAATTATACCACTACAGAATCTAAGCAAAATTTTTATCATGATCAATTTCAGATAAAAAAGTAAGACAATATCATCTGTGTTTAGACTAAGAGGTCAATGATAGAATGATTAAGGTCAAATGGTTTCAAATCACTTGCCTTCTTTTTGTGTAAGAAGCTATAAGCTTAAAGACACACTCCCAAGTCCTTTCTTAGAATCAACCAATACTGAACAATGAGTGTAAAGTTTCCTGCTGAACAACTTGCCCATGAAAGGGTTTGAACCCGAGTGACTAGCCATCCTTAGATTACATGTACTTGTGTAACCACATGACCATGCCACTACCACTCCTCTTTTACTGTTTACTGATGAAAAGTCACATTATAAGCCAAAAACAACTAGAAATGTGTCGTCACTGTCAAAAATCATCAAACCATGACCAAATTCAAACTTGACCTGCGCATTCCTTTGACGTATCAATATGTCAAATTTGAGTTGAATGTGTAATACTTTTGGGGAGATAATGAACAGAAACTGGAAATTTCATATTATTTTCAAAGTGAAAGGGACATTACTCTGACAAAAATCATTGAACCATGACCAAATTCAAACTTGACCTGCGCATTCCTTTGACGTATCCATATGTCAAGTTTGAGTTGAAAGTGTAATACCGTAAGGGAGATAATGAGAGGAAACTGAAAATTTTATATTATTTTCAAAGTAAAAGGGGCATAACTCTGCCAGAAATCATTGAACCATGACCAAATTCGAACTTGACCAGTCCTGTATTTTGTCATGACATATCCATATGTCAAATTTGAGTTGAATGTGTGCAATCATGACTAAGATAATGAACGGAAACTGATGATGACGGAATGACAGAATGACCGTAATGAAGGAATGACGGAACAGGATAACACAAAACACTATATGCCCCAGCCATTATATGGCGGGGGCATAAAAATTCACTAAGGCCATCTGTTTTGTTTGTACAGTGTATGTTTATTTTTCTGTTTGTTAAGCCAATCTTAAACATAATTTGTCATATCCCGGCAGTTGATTATATTTATAACTAATTTCTTATATCATCATAAATTCTCTAGGTGGTTAAAATAATACTTACATGTTTTCTTGTTTCCTTTTTTCATCTAAATCCTGAATGTTTCCATAACATCTTTGTAAAGCACGTTTGCCTATCTCACCAGCTAAGTTGAAACTGTATGGCCAACGGGAAGCACCCTGTCAAATTGATTTGAATTAATTTTTATAGAAATCCATGAAACTTACATGTTATACATTTGTGCTAGTATTAGTATTTCTATTACATGTGACTAATTTGTTTATCTTTTCCATTGTAATATTTCAATCAAAGGCAATGTTTAGTCCCCCCTCCCCCCAATACCTACCTAAGTAGCCCTACAATACTTATTTGAAATAAAGACAAAGAACAATACTACCTTAGCAAATGAAACCTTCAACTTGAAAACCTAAATGAGCCGCGTCACAACAAAACCAACATAGTGTGTTTGCGACCAGCATGGATCCAGACTAGCCTGCGCATCCGCACAGTCTGTTCAGGATCCATGCTGTTCGCTATCAGTTTCTCTACTTGTAATAGAGTTGGTAAGCGAACAGCATGGATCCTGATCAGACTGCGCAAATGCACAGGCTGGTCTGGATCCATGCTGGTCGCAAACGCACTATGCTAGTTTTGTCCTGACGCGGCTCATATAGGTTTTCAAGTTGAAGGTTTCATTTGCTAAGGTTGAAGGTTTCATTTGACGCGACTCATATGTACCTGTAATGGTATGCTTCCAGTACCACACATAGGGTCACACACAACATCTCCTTTCTTTATATCACACAACCTACAAATATAATGAGAACAAGATTACATTTATAATTTTATTAACCTAATGTGAACAATTATCAAACATTTTATTTTTAAATGTCTCATCCTACAGACTTTGCCAAACTATGACTGTACTTAGAAGAATGCCTGAAACTTAATAAGTGAGACAATTTAGTTGTTCAAACCCATTTGCAAGATCTTTCTTTTGCTAAATATAATCATACTGGACACCTGGTCTGAAACTCATCAGACATTACTAGACTGCTTCAAAACCTGAAGATAACATTTTCTTTCTGTCCAATAATATTAAAGAATCATATTCAGCCTAATAGATTAAAGGGACTCCACTGAGGTTTTCTGACATGATGGGACTGGAAATATTTTTTCCAGATAAATGTACTATTTGATGTAGGTTTAGACCACTAATCTTTGTGCAAACTTTCAGATCATTCGCACACTTTGTTTTTCCAGAATAATTTTTCAAACTTAAAAAAATGACCCAAAATGAAAAGTGTTTAAACACTTTTCACTTAAATGGGGCTAAGAAAAACATAAAAATATGATTTTCAATTTTTTTTAAAAGTATGTTTCTACACTATTTTGCATATATTTCTGTTTAAAGTGCCCCAGCTCATTTATGTAAGTAATTCAAATGTTATGCTTTTAGGCTTTTAAACCTCAGTGGAGTTCCTTTAATATGAACATAATTATCATTTTCAGCGTAGCAATAACAACCTTTTATTTTTCTATAAATACATTGTACAATTTATGTAATCATAAATGTTTAAGTTCCAATTTAAGGTAAAGATCGCCTAACATTTCATTACCTGAGCATGCCGTAAGCAATGGTAGGTCTGAGTGTGGTTGGTCCGAAATGTGATATATTTCTTCGATGTAGACTTTCCTTTGTCAATCCTAGTGACACAGTAACATCGTTATCATCTATTCCAAGAATTACCTCAATATCAAACTCTGTCAGCTTAACATTCCAACCAAAATATCTATAAATAGCACCACCAAAGTTTGAAGCAGCGGTCATAGAATCAAAGTTATGATTATTGCCCACCCTGTGACAAGTCACTCTGAATGAAGGCATCATAGGATTCCATGGGTTTTCTCTAACCCTTGGTTTTTTTGCAACAATTTCTAAGTTTTCAATTTCTTCTGTATGTGAAGGTTCAATGACTTCATCAATTTTATCATTCTTATCTGAACATGCTTTATCTATTTCTAATTCAGTTTTTGATTCATTTTCATCAGCACAAACATGTGACTGCTTTTTGTCTCTTTCTTCACGTCTATTTTCAAATCTCTTATTTCGTTTGTTTCTTTTCTTTGCTCTTCTAGAGAGTTTTTCCCCAGGACTGGTTTGTCTTGGAGGAGGGATTACAACCTCTCCAAAGTCAGTTGTTATTTCATCAGGGTAATCTGCTACAGCATGCTCAAAACTGAAGAATTTCCGCCAAATTTTCAAACCTGATGGCCAGTCAACAGAGCCAACAAGATTTCTTAGTCTTTGAAGATTTTCATTCTAGAAAAACAATAACTGTTCTCATTTAAGATGATATAAAATCTGAGATTCCTCATTAAAAGAAAAAGGAAGCAAAAGACAATTTTTAATTTTTAGCCTGGATTAAGAGAACTTTGATATGACATTGTTAAACATTATTTAAAGAAATAATGTTTAACAAAGCAAAAAGTTATACTAAATTTACTGTTTATAGTCTAAAATGCCAAATAACAGCACTGCAAAGACAGGGCTTGAATATGAGTAACAAAAGTAATCTTTCAATAAAGGGAGAAACCCATCAAGAAACTTGTCCGAAAAATGTTTTGTCTGAAATATCCTTATGATATTGTATGACTCCAAAGTGGTGGCATTTTATACCCTAGGTGCACGATTCATAAAACTTTTATAGAACTCTATTAGGCAATGCTATATGCTAAATATAAAGGGATAGTATTTATCCACAAAAAAATAAACTGTGTTTTCCTATACTTTAGTCTACATAATGCAAGTGACTCCCGGGGCTGGGCCAAGTTTGACCTGAGGGTATATAACTTTTGCATAAATCTATAAATTGATGTTACATGCCAAACATCTAAGCTCTGGGCTTTGTAGTTTCACAAAATAAGACACAAGCACTTCCTGGTAAACATTTCTGCCAAGTAGTTTCAATTTCCTTCCACTGGTTCAAAAGATGCAGACCAGCAAACACAAAAACTGCTAACAGACAAATGACCAGGTGCTCAACATTTAATATATATGCCAAAATTTTTTCAGGTGTATAAAAGTTAATAATCTCATAATGATAATAATCTCATAATGATAAAGTACTAGAAAATACATAAATACAGGCACAATGAATGAATTTTTCTTTGATGTTTCTCTAAACATTATAAATTCTAATGTACTGACATTGTACATGTAAACAAGAAACCGCCATCTAGGAGTTAGCTGGATAGCCTTACAAAAAGGTAAAAAAGCAATAGAATCTACCTGATCCTGTGTAAACTTGAAGTCAACGACTTGCGTCATCACTACCCTACAGTTGTCCACACATCCAAGGTCAGTTACCTGAATAAGGTAAAGTTAAGCGATAGGTAATTGGATAGGTAATTGGACGGAAGTGTTCCTTACAAAAAATAGACAACATAATGGGTATGTAAGCTTATTGAACTGCTAAGATCTGTGACAATGAACAGCACAATGACAAATTTGGTGATGTTTATCAAATGTGCACTTAAAATTCAAGAATATAATATACTACGACAAAATGACTAATTATATGAATCATGTTGATTTTGTTGATAGTTAATGTGTTAATTTGTCACCTCAGTGGATTCCTTTATCCTCCAAGGATTTTGCATATTCCTCTGTAACTGGGGTTTTTCTCTCTTTATTTGGAAGAGGCCTTAGCCTCTTGATTTTGGGAAATATTATGGCTAAAATTGTTAATTTAGGAAAATAAAAACCTGGTGTGAGTTTTTGGGATAACTGCATGGTTTTAAAAGAAATTTCAATTGGGAACAGGTCTTAAAATTATATGCCTCTGTTATGTATTACAATGTAAAGAAGGCCTGCTTTTACTGCTAGACAGTTCGGGTAAGAACTTTCTTATACCATCTAAACTTGCTTTCAACTGGGACATGATATAATGGGACAATCAATAGAGATTACTGATTAGCCCAAAATTATCTTTTTGGGGGAAAACAGTCTGCATATTTCAAATTTTGACAATGATGCATATACTTTGACAACTATAATTATATATATGTTAATAAAACTTTACAGTTTCAGTACTGTACTATATAAAGATTAAACAAGACTGTATAACTCCGATAGATTAATTTATCGCGGTAATGTTTACATCAACACCGTTTCTGTTAAACTTATTTACCTGTTCGACTTTGTCAATAGGGCATTTTATGCTAATTCGACCTCTCAGTATTTTGCATTTAGTATTAAACCTTTCCTCAGCTTCCTCTGCAGCTACTTCTTCAAATCCTGTGACAACTGTTGCCTCAACTGTGCAATTATTTTCGTCTTCTGTCGGCTTTTGAGCACAAGACACGTCTTCCATGGGCGCCGCCATCTTGTCGTGTTTACTTCATGGTCACGTGACCATGGAAAGTGTGTAGGCAAGTGTGTATTTCACTTTCAGTTTAGTCATGACGGAGTAGGCCAGACGTTTGTTTGGTAACTGATAAGAAATCTGATTAAATGATCTTTGTTTTGAATGGGTCTGTCTGTAAAAGTAGAGTAAAAGGAATGTATCGAGAAACTTTGGATTTACAGAATGTCTCTCTAAAAAGATGAGACTAACTTTTAATAAAGTTGCCTACACTATCTTGGTTTCTTACTTGATTGTATCATGTTACACGGGATATATTATTGTAAGGAATAAAGTATGGAAAGAAAAACTTCAACAGGAAAAGTTTCGTCAGATGTCAGGTATAAAGGAAATAAACGTTATTTAAAATTAATTGTTGTATCAGTTAAATTTTGTAAACTTAAATTTTAAATGAAATAAAATTAGATCTGTAATTATTAATTAGCCCAAAATCAATTTATGATTTAATAGATATTTAATTTATTATTTAATTAATGCACGTTTTATTGGATATTTTAGGGATTATGTAGATCTTTGTGTACAATCACAGTGAAAGAATGTATAATAATGTGTTTCAATTAGTGACACATTAAATCATTGTTTAATTGAAAAAAAACATTTATTTTATCCTATATTTTTTTCTCCAAAATTAGTAATGAATTATATATCATTGCATGTTCACTTATGCCTTTTCTCACATACTTGTCTTGGTGTATTGTTTTTAATTTTTGACTGTCTAAGTCTTATTATTGTGAAGTCCTGAAAATTGAAGACTGAATTCCTGAAAATGACTCAAATTCAGTATTTAAAGTGAAGAAGGAAAGTTATAATTAATTTTAACAATTAACATGGGGTGGTTTAATACATTACAGTTTACATTCAGATGCCATCTTTGATTTTGTCAAATAAAACAAAATAGTTTTGGTTCCATCAATGTGTGAGCGTTTCCTATTGATTGTGGAAATAATAATTCAGATTTCCTTTTTTAAAAGTGCACAATTTCCAACATTATAATAACTTAAAAAGCCATAACTTAATTTTTTTTTATAGATAATATTTAGAAAAAGAACAAAACTATTCTGAAATGCACGAAATGAGCTGTATGTAATGAAATAACTTATTCATTGGAAAAAAAAACAATAGCATGGGGTTGCTGAAATAAGGCCCCATTCCAAATATTTACCAAAACAGCCTCTTTTTTGCAATTCAAAAAGCTATCCCAACATCAGTTCAAAGAAAACTATTCTAAATTCTGAGAAAGATTTGAACTGTTTTGACTTGTTTCTTTAAAAAAAATGACATGTTTTACGATCATACACTAGAGATTTTCAACTGTTTAGAATTTCTAAAATTTTCCAAACTTCAGAATAATTTTCCCAATTTATGCCAGAGGCCCTTTCCCAAATTAGCTGGAAAAGGCCTTGGGAAATTCTTGGGAAATTCAATTATTACCAGTAGTCTGTAGGACTTTTTCAATTCAATATTGATTTCCAAGATGAAAAAAAAATGAACTAAAACATTTTTAAAGTTACAACTGCATGCCTAACTTTTTATTTCCCAAAAAGTCTTGGTTTTGTGAACATTAAAGTTTTTTGTATCTATTGTATAAACCCCTTTAAGGAGAGATAATATATCTGTCATACTGTTAAAATTTAACACAGTGCATACTTTATTACCAACCTGAATCAATTTAATTTACATGCACTTGTATGTAGCTGAAAGGAAGTTCAAATTTATGATATACCACTTTAAAGTTTAAATGTTTTATTGAATCTGTTACCATGGGCTTATATTAAAATTACTTTACAGCATATTCTTGTTAAAATTTTCTGTAACACCGCTTTATACAAAAATAATTTTTTCTAATAAATTTAAAAATTCAACAACTATCATTAGCATTACTTTATCGATTAAGTTATCATTCCTTTAGATAACAAAAGTTACCACTGGCCTCAGTCTGATAACAGTAAGTGGGAAGATTTATTCCCAAAGAGGGGGAATAGTCTTTAATAAAAGCAATTTTTTGTTAAATAGTAAAGGGTTGAGATTTCAATCCCTCCATTTTTTTTACAAATAATTATACATTTTCAGTCCGATTACAAATTTTTAAAGTTGTCGTGGGAAAATTTTGCTTAAAAGTTATTACCAATAAAAATTTAAAAAAGTGCTAAATATAATTTAGTTAAAAAAAGTATCTAAAAATTATTCTAAGATATATAGTTGGATTAATATAAAAAATATATTATTTAATAGTTTTCCCAAAAAGAAATCTCAGTATTTTTTTTTCCAATTTTAAGCCAATTTTTAATTCATTTATTTAAACAAAATTGTAGTTTTTAAAGAAGAAATTTCTTCACTGTCAATTATTGTAGATCAAAATATTTTGGTTATATAAAATAAAGGGGGGCCACAAGCACAATCAATTCGGGGTTTTGAGTGACCCCGGGGGACATATCATTTGATAATTTAATGAAATCCCTTTCCGTAAAATTTTATTTTCATAATAAATGTCATAAATACATGATGTGTAAGCTATGTTATAAAAGGGGCACCAATCGGGTTTCTCAGGGGTAAAGGGAAAAACTAAATTTTAAACTTAGGTTAAGCGCGCAACCATTTCACCCACTTGCTTTGGATTAGTTAGTTAACTTAATATTTAATTTGATTTGTAAGTGGAAGCTCATAATAAGCTTATTGAAACAGTCTCAAATCTGTTCTTGGAACCAACCAGTACTAAGCAATGAGCGTAAAGTTTCTTGCTCACAGAAACAACAGATTGCCCCTGATAGGATTTGAACCCAAACAGCAAGCAATGCTAAGATTACTAGTCTGATGCCTTTACCACAGTTTCCATGCCACCACTCATCATCAGTTGAGCTAATAGGCTATATCTTAAAGGGTTTACCTCTAGCCTCAAACAGGATCATTCTCTCTGTCTTACTGTATAATTCATTTACAAAAATGTATGTCCTACATGTATATGCCATCATTGTAAACTGAGTCATGCCAGAAGTCTGCCTATAAAATCAGAATTATTAGTCAGTATCAAACCCTGGACAAAAAATAAATGAGATGCAGGTTTGATACAGTTGGGATGGGGCAACTTCTGTATTTATGTACTACATTGAAACTAACAGGTGTCAAAGATACTGGCATCTGAAATGCAACAGTGAATGAACAGAAAGAAAAAAAAACTGTTGGCTTTAAAATTGATCGAATTCTTGAAAGCTGAAAACTGGATAGTAAAATGTCTTAAAATGGCCACATCACAAATTTAGTGTATGTTAAACTCACTGACTTAAAAAAAAATGAATTCTTTCATTTCAGGATATTTAATTAGTTTAATGTACATAATACACTACATACATGTACCTCTCTCAGAGAGGGTTATTGGCGACGCCGGTGAGCGGCGTCGTCTATTATGGAACGCTTTTTATTTTTGCCTATGGAAGGAGCTGTTATTATTAGCAGTTAATTTCATGTTGTGTAAATTAGTTTTATTTTGATTCGTAAAAATCAAGTAAACAAATGTGTTGTTATATTTGTATTTAATAACTTTATGTAAAAAGCATGTGCATTGTGATATTATTTTCACGAAATTGCGGGTTAAGTTTAACAGCTTGTCCCTTAGTTTTAATGACAATACTAAAACCCGGATTTCGAATATCGTTGTGGTCTAGATTGAGGCCGTATCATTTATACATTTTCAAAATTTTCCTACAAGAAGAAAGTTCACCTGCAATTGAGTATAAGGATAGGTAATGGAACTGTTGTAAACGATTATCCTATTGATTTTATCCTTATTACATTTATCT